GTAAAATGTCTCAGGGTTCTCCTTTGCTCGCTGTAATTTATTCGTTTTTCATTTCTAATTACAAGTTTGACAGGCAGAAAGAAGCCCTGGGTACAGGCATGCTTTTTGGTCTAACGTTCGCAACCATTGCTATGTGTTATTATGAAATGCTCTGGCTTTGATCCTTTTCGGCTGCATTCTCTCCGTTCTTTTTAGGTACGAATGATGACGATTGCTTTCTTCTTTTTAAGAACAGATATCACGCTGCTTTATTCTTTGATCTTTTAACAGCAAGCATCCAAACATTGAATTTACGACAGAGGGAGAATCAGATGGCCAAATTTCCATGTTGGACGATCTCGTCCTCATGTAAGGTGGTCGTCTTCGCTCTTCGGTGTAGAGGAAGCCTACGTGCACCGGGCTGGACACGAGGTTTTTCAGATTTTTTTCCAGAATCCCTCGAAGCTAGGACCATATGGACGGCCATCTTTGGAGCATGCCGTCTCAGCTCGACTTGTCACTCCTTTCATGCTGAAATCAAATGTTTTCAGAGGCATTCACGGGGCAATGGTTTCCCTTAGGGTTCATCCACTTATTGATTAGGAGGTTCCTTGATTCTCCATATCTTTCTTAGTCCAGGCCTTTGAACGCTCCGAAACTAAAAAAAAAAAACAAAAACAAAAAAACATTTTGCTCTACCGTGCTTTGACCTAAACTCTGAAAGCTTCAAAAGTGAGTTGATCAGCGTCCTATCAAAATTCGACCTATTTTTAGACCCTAGGATTATTTTGGTTAATCCCCTCTCAGAGGTTCTTTCTTCAAGCATAAGCATTGACTGCCTAAATGCTGCCAGTCGACTGTTGTATTCGAGTTTTGTTGTAGTTCTTGTGAGGCATCTCACGCAGGTTCCACACTTTGGAGCCTGCACAGTCGCATACTGCAGCACTGTTATGGTATCAGCAGCAGCATCGCAGTGGTAAATCGATCCGGATGAGAAGTTTTTTTTTGCAAATCTGGCTTCTCGCTCATACGATAACATCCTTCTCCATGTGGCACTCCAGTCTTGACTTCCAATTTAATAAATCAGGCAGGGCATGTGCTGTGCTTAATTTAAGAACCTTAGAGCCTCTACAATTTTTAGAAAACGTCCAGCACTTAATTACACGACTTCGTCACATCAATTGCAACTTGTGATTAAGCGAAATATGTCTGCAGATTTTGCCCTGGTCTGGTCTACATCGCGCGCGCCTGTGTGATATTTTCATTACGTCTGTGTCGTTTGCGAGTGTTAACCATCATGGCATACGCTGTACCAGCGTGTTTCTTGCCTGACGATGCAGCCGTTGTTAGCTGTGAAACGCGTCACGAGTTAATATAACAAGCATACGAGCACACGCTCGTCTGGGGGTGGGGGTGGGGGTGGGTCAGTTTGATCCCCCCGAAGGCTTTTCCAGAATGGTTTCCAGACGACGCAGCGTAGCCGCACCAAATTTTGCACAGCTGCAGACAGTTAAACAGCGGATCGTCTGGCCTCACAATTTAGATGTACCTTGTTAAGTTGCTGGTCTATGGCAGGTCAAAGTCAAGCCACGGTTTCAGCAAAGGCAATTTCTAGGGAATCACTCAGTCTGTTCCAACAACGGAGTGTTAGACGAAGCTAAACCTTTCTGAGATACTTTCTTACGCAACACAACACTTCAATGACCAAATTAAATTGCACTAGGGTCATGTATGATGGTCAAATCAAGGTCAAAACCAACCTATTTTAATACTCTAGGGGTTGGTGTATGAAGTAACTTTTAGTGCTCATTTTGGATTTATTGATAACAAGAACCGCATTATACACCTTCCATGTACCTTTTAAATGTCAGAATAGGTTACTGACCTGAAGCAACCCCTGTAAACATTTTGTTTTTAGGAACATACTGCCTAGCGCGATCTTTGTTGCTTATTCAAATGCAAAGCTCAAAGCAGTCTTATATGATTTTGCTCTCCATGACCTTCAAAAGGTCAAACAAGGTCGCTTACCTTAAATGAGCATGTGATCCTTTGCTTAGTAGGTTCTAGAGGCTCCCTGCAGTCTAGCCTGGAATTGAACCTTTTTGACCTTATTTACCCCGAAGTTCACATCCCAGTAACCTGAAACTTTGACCTAAGTGAGTTCACGTACAGTCCAACACACCCTCTGAATTTGGTGTCTCGAAGTCCCTTGGTTCCTGAGATCTCAGGGGGGGGGGGAGCAAATTGATCCCCCCACCCGAGCGAAGAGTATACAACCGGCCACCCGGGCGCGTGTTAAAAATGTATGTAGTCTCTAAAATTGCCAAATCAAGCGGTAAGTGTCCAACAAGCGACATGTCCTGTCCAAGATACTCAAATTGGAGGCAAAAACTGGGATGTTACATGCAAATGAATGATTCCGTATTAAGGAGTCAGGATTTGCAAGAAATCTTTCCGTCCGGGTAGATTTACCCAAATGTTACTGAATGCGACGGTGCACGTTCCAAAGGGCGGATTCTGGGTAGGATGTTCGACACTACGCACAACAAAACTCGTATACAACGGTCGCTTGGCGGTATTTGGGTAGTCATCCTTAAGTTTGAAGAAGGAACCTACGGAGAATGGTTCACCAGAACGATCCTGAGATCTAAAAAATGGATAGAATTTTAATAGGAGGCTGACCAACTCACGTTTGAGGCTTTCGGGGTCTGAGTCAAAGTACCGCAAAACAAAATACTCTTTGAGTTACGTAACATCAAAGGGCCTTAGCAAGGAAAGATGCCAGGAATTGAGGAACCTACGAATAAATACACCTATGATAATCGAGTAGAAGCCGTTGTTCCAGAAATACCTTTTTAAATACCCAAACGGTATAGAAACAGTGGATGGCTTTACACCGAAATCAGCGCTGCCACCACGCACAGTTATGTTCCTAGACGGCTGCGGTATTGGCGTGGTTATCAACAAAACTAGACGTGGTCCGTACATACATACATGCATACACACATGCATACATACATGCATACATACATGCACAGACACACACACACACACACACACACACACACACACACACACACACACACACACACATATATATATATATATATATATATATATATATATATATATATATTCTACAAGTTTTGCTATACGCAAAGGTACATATACAGTTCATTGGCTTCTTGTGCGATTATTCAATTGCTCGAATTGAATCCTTCGTTGTTTTCGGCAAGTCACAAATCAACTCGCCTATCGTCACATGACTTGCCGTCATTGCGTCACACAGAAATGCGTGACTCAACTTGTCTGTTTAGGTCATGCATTCTGTCTCTGATGAGTATAACTTCAAGAGCTTGCAGACTTCTTTTGTTCATGATTTTAGAATCAATGTGTTTTCAGTCAAGTCACGGCGTAGGAGTTTTTAGTTGGGGGTTTTGCGCATGTGTTGGTCTGACGCTCCCTCCTGCGGGTGCAGTCATGCGTCGTGGTAGGGATGTTACGGTCATTTCAATACAGGTAGAGTTGCGCAGCTAGCAGTCTCCGTAAGGATATCTAATACATACACTGTATTGTTGCGCTTTAGCTGGTTTTGGTTCGCTGTCAGGTTGTTTTTCATCATAAGGCTGATAGTTGTTCTGCTCTGATAATGCGTGGCCAGTATTATTTCAATGTTTTCGTGAGTCGGTGTGATATTTATCTAGATGATGTTCCGTAAAACTTTTTCATCCACCTTATATGCCGGGAAAATTGGATTTCGATAAAAAGTTGATGAATTCGTTCCTTGTCGAATGGTTTTTGGTTTCCTCGATTCAAGGTGGACTCAATCTCTTCGCCAATTGCTCTGCCATTATTAACGAGTAATTGCTTACATCGTTCAAGTTCGTGGTGCGTGGTGGACCAGTTGGAGCAATATTTTAGGGCACGTCGTATTAACGAACGGATGACGGCCGGGCGGTAATGCTCCGGGCATTTGCTATCCGTGTTCATACATTTTCCAGCATCGGTGGGTTTACGGTGCACTTTTGTGACCAAAGATCCGTTGCTCGCATCCAAATCGATGTCAAGAAAAGGTAAATGAATGTCGACACTCAGATCAGTTGCAAATCGTGATAACGATTGCCGCTGCATGCTGGCCTGCAGTTGATGGAGGTGGGCCTGGTCTCTGATGTCAACAAATGTGTCATCAACATATCTACAGCGTAAATACGGCTAATGGTTCAGGTTTTTGAAGACATAATTCTCCAGCCAGCACGTGCACATAGTTGCAAACGGGCATGCGAGCAGTGATTCTATTGCGACACCATCTACTTGGCAGTAGAGCAATGACAATGGCAAATGACCCAACTCACCCCGACAATGCCAAAAAATAGTTTTTCTCCCCAGTTTTGGCCCACTTTTGGCCTAAAGATGGAGGGCTGGAACCTGGGGAATGAGGCTGGCCAACTGAAAAGGAAGCTACACTCCAGCCTTACGGTACTAATAAAGCGCTCTGTAAACGTGATGCAAGCGGCTCAACAAACCCCTTCAAATTCGACATGCAGTGTAAGGCTCGACTTCGCATGCATCCATTGCCGTCCGCCCTCAGCGCTGCCGTAGCATCTGCACCTGAGGGGGGGGGGGGGACTGGGGCGCCGAAAAAAGCTGGTGATCCGCATCTGTCCAGGCGAACATCGTACATGTCGCCTTCGAACAGCGGCATGTTACAATGCGGCGCACTTCGATCGAAGATGTGGCTGCTGTCCCGCCAGTCTCGCCTGATCTAGTCTCCCGACCTCCCACCTCTGCACAGTGCAACGCCGGAAGTTCCAGACCTCCAGCGCACAATTTCGCCACGGTAGCGGCGCGACCGGACCTCTGGTTTTGGCGCGCTGCAGCGCACGAGACAGGTACCGGCTCGCAACGCGCGTCCCGACGCCACCGGCAGCGCGCCTCCTGATTGGCTGGCGGCCCGACCACGTGACATCGGGCGAGTTTCCGCCACCTAGAACCGTCTGACTGCGCTCGGACGCAGTCGGGAGGGGCCGGCGGGAGAGGGCGTGGTGCGGGGCGCGCGAGCCGGGGTCTCGTGCGCGCCTCGCAGTTCATGCGGCGTGCTGTGACGATTGGGGCGGCTGTTTGGCGTATGGCACTGGCGATTTGGAGAGCGCCTGATATCGCCGCTGCTTAGGAACACAAATGTAAGTGGTGACAGCACCGACCTCGGTGCCGGTGTAGCGGTGTGCGTCGCTCTAATCCTTGATATAAGCGACGGCTCGGCGGTTCGTTGGGGGTCTTTCTACGTACAGATCGCGGTCTGCGACGGTCACGGGTCACTCCAGCTCGTGATCCTCTGCCGCATTCGTGCATCTGTGTCGTGTATGTAGTATTGCGATACGCAGTCGCGGTGGGAGCGGTCATCGGGGCGGTCAAGGTCTTTGGACAAAAGGTTATATTGTCTGTTGCGCTTTCCCACGATTATACGCCCTGGCTAATAGCAGTACGGTATAAAACGGAGGGGAGCTACATGGTGACTGCGTCGCCTGACGTGTTTTCTCGCCGTTTGCAGTTGGGGGAAATCGTTCGCACCCACTTACCAGACAACCGTATTCAGTGCCGGGTGGACAGACTTCGAGGATCAAAATGTGCGCGCTCCACTGCCCTGCGGTCTAAAACGTACCACTTGAAAGTCCACACGGCCGCTCCCGTTGGGGAAGCGGGCACCCCTCCCACCTGCCGCCCCCCCCCCCCCCACGTCGCGCCGTCGCGGGTGGAGGAGGGGGGGGGGGGGTAAAACCGCACCGTGACGCTTACGGCGCGGCGGGCCGGGGGCGTTGGCCCCTACCTGTGTGACGGGACGCGTGACACCGGCGCCGTCTCGCGCTACACTGGCTGACGGCCGGCCCGACGGCGATCCATTGGGCCACGCCGCGGGCGGCAGAAGCGGAGGATGGTCCGCCGTGGAGGAGCCGCCTCAAGCCTCCGGGCATCGCTGGCCCGGTCCCAGTACAGCGGCGCTGAATCAGCCCCGCCGTTACTGCGGCGGGCGGATCCAAGTTGACGGCTGTTTGAACCCATGCCCTGCGGTTGCCGCCGCAGTTTGCTCACAGCTGTACGCGACCACACCCTGGGCTTGAGCGGCGTGTTCACTCTCAGAGCGGGTGGCGGTCTGGTTTCTCAGCTCCTCACCCCGTTCAGCTGGGCGTGCATGCCCACTTTCCCGCCACTGTGCCGACCCACGTCGCTTGCGGCGCCGGCACTTTCGCCCGCGCTTCTTCCCGCGAGGTCGCCCCCCCCCCTCCCGTCATTGGGCCCTGCCTGTCAGGCGTGCCCCCCCTCCCGCCATCTTCCCCGGGTCTCGGGTGACCCCTGGCGACCTCTGCAGGGGGCGGGGAAGGCAGGTGGTAGGGCCGAACGCCGTGCCGTCGGCCGGTGTTCGGTCGGGGCTCGGCCCCGCTGAACCAACGATGTGCTGTTTGGGTTGGCAATGGGCGCTCGGTGGTGGGTGTGATTGCAGCGAGGTTCTTGTCGATAGTGATGCCGCCGCTGCAGCAGGTCTTGCCGGCCGCCTCCATCGTGGTCTCCCTCACAAACACAACACACACTATTTGTTGACGTGTAATAAATGGGGTTTATTAATGCGGCTGAGTGGTCGGCTCATTCTCGCCGTTGTTCACGTTGACTTGTGTTCCAAGACTGACGTCAGGTGACTTACGTGGCAACATGCCCTGGCTCAGAATGTGTGCCTGGACGGGCCCACGATCACGCAGTCTTATCACGGGGCGTAGGCAACAGTAATCGCACACACGCCCGGCCGTGGGGCGCCGCGAGCGCCGCGCCCCTCTTATTTGTGACGGGCGGGCCGGCGGTTCCCGTGTCCGCTAAAACTCCGGCGGTTTTTGCCGTCGTTTCGGCGATCCGTGGGCGGAGCAGATGCACTGCGACAGGCCAGGGCTGCAATGCTGCTTCAACACGGTAATGTTCGGGTTCCGGCTAGCCGTTGGTGCAACAGGTGTACGGGGACAGGCTGGGGTTGATCGATCCGTTGGTGCAACAGGTGTACCTTGGCAGACGAGGGTTGTAATGGTGCTTCGACACCGGAATGGTGCGGACTAACTGTAACGTGGTGATACCCTTAGAAAGTGTCGGGACGTTTACCGGGTTACAGGTTGTTTTGATAAAGATGGTAAGCAGGATATAATTAAGACCCTACCAGCGAAAGATTGAACGGGATGAGAAAGACGTTCCTGGATGCAGGTGGTACATGATAAAAGTCGTGCGTAATAAAGGTACTTCATGATGCCGTTTTTCATGATAAAGGGCAGAAGCGCAGTTTGGCGGAAGGATTGTGGCGGGGGAGGGGGGGGGGGGGGAGGGGACGGGGCTGAACGTTGGGAAATACCTCGACCTACCACCGACATACGCCAACAAACGAGTTTCTCCTGGGATTTGGCCACCCTTCTCAAAGTTGGGCTAAAGCAGTTTGTGCGGGTCTTGCGGATAATGGCTATGTGGACGCATTAGTATTTCAGTTAGGACTTGAAACTTAACTGTTGTCGCAGGCGGCACTGGTGGGAATGCACCAATAGCAAAGCTTCGGACGTGGTCATTAGGCACCGCATTGTTGACTTCTCAATGCGGATAGAGACCGTACTGGCCGGGTAATACCCACAAAGTCCGCCCATTAATGGTCCGTAATCCAAGATCGATGGCTTCTCGTGCGCAGTTTCACAAAATCGGTGCGGAACACGGCCCTCGCATTTGGCTACGGGGTACACAATTAAATGGTGGGAAGGGTACGAGCCTTGGCAATCTTATGTACATCAGCAAGAAGTGCCGCCGCCACCGCCACCGTTTTTAGGACTCGCGTCTTTCATGGCTCGGTACGTTTCTTGCCTCCATTCCGCCATCCCTCTCCCTTTTTTGGGCGGGGGACTTTATTTCAGCATGTAATTGCACTTGTAACTGATGGTATTTACCCAGTAGAACTTCCTTGCGAACGTTGCGCATGATCTTTCGCTCACCGTCCGGTGCGATATATATATATATATATATATATATACATATATATATATATATATATATATATATATATATATATATATATAGCGATATAGCCATGCATGTACGTACATTTATTCATACATAGCGATGTAATTTGCATATTGCAATATCCCTGTCTTTGACGATCTTTCTCCCAACTATCTAACCCACTCAACCTGTTGCGTTCAATCGCTTGTATACGATATCATTTGATTTTTCGCAGTTTGATATTTACAAGCAGGTGGCAAATAGAGTGATACGGTAAACATGGAAGAGATGCGGTAAATTACTACGTGTTGCGTCTGTGGCTCCAAAATGAATTTTGAGTGCCGGCATTCCCGGTAACGAGGTCGGTCAGTTCCGGACGGGCGTGACGTCTCTTGCTCTGGCACGTGATGAGATCCTGCATGCTGGCTCCTGGTCAAACCAACAGTCCGCCCACGATTTCATTCTGGCATTTCGGATGTGACCCGCGCCGCCCAGAAAGCCGTCTCGTTCGGATTCAAACATCCGCTGTCCGATGCAAACAGACGGAATTTTCGGTAGTGTCGCTGTTGACAGGCTGGGATGTGGTCGGGGACGTGTCAATGGATGCTGCTCCCATCCACTTCGGATGTCGTGTCTGGCATCATTCCTTATAACGATTGAGCGTCGTTCTCTGTCGATCGAGGATGCTGCTTCCAGTCTTCTGCGTGCCACGCGATAAATACACGTCGACGCCATCTTCAAGCGCAGGACTGCGTCCAGTCCAGTTTAGTCTGTTCAGTTGGATTCAGCCTGCGTCGATCGCGATCGGTTGAGCATCACACGTGATCATGTAAGGTTGGTTTAGTCTTGCTTGGTTCAAATGCGGATCGCTGGCTTCACCGGTCTGGTGCGGTTCAGCATCACAGCAGTTGTCATTTGATTTGAGTTTTGTTCGGCTCAGTTCAGTTCCGTTCGCGGTAGGGAACACGCCCGTCTGCATTGGGCGCTTCCAGCGGTCACTGGGACAAATGACCAGTGCACTGCCCCGTCCCCGCGTCTGTTGGAGAGCTCAACTGAACCAGACGCCAGCCGGGACAGCCCCTGGCCGCCCGAACACATGGCGACAGGCCGGCCACTTCGGGGCGGGACTGAACCAGACACCAGCCGGGACAGCCCCTGGCCCGAACACATGGCGAGAGGCCAGTCACCTCGGGGCGGAACTGAACCAGACACCAGCCGGGACAGCCCCTGGCCCGAACACATGGCGACAGGCCGGCCACTTCGGGGCGGGACTGAACCAGACACCAGCCGGGACAGCCCCTGGCCCGAACACATGGCGACAGGCCGGCCACTTCGGGGCGGGACTGAACCAGACACCAGCCGGGACAGCCCCTGGCCGCCGAACGCATGGCGACAGGCCGGCCACCTCGGGGCGGGACTAAACCAGACACCAGCAGGCAGGGGCCGAGGGAGGAAAAAGCAGTCATCTCGCAGGAAAGAAAAGAAAAATTAGTAGATAGTTCCTGGCGTTCTAGTGCTCTTACACATTATCTTTAGCAAGAAGGCCGCACTCTCATTGCAAGACAGTTTTTCACTGCAGAACCATCTGGTTGTATCGCTGACTGCGAAATGGAGCTGCGCGCAAGTAGCGAATCGTTCCCCGCGAGTGATAATATGCTGCGATCGATTTCGTGGTGTTTGCCTCTGATGTATAGTGCAGACGTTTGACGTTCGCGTTGAATACAAACACACCAGCTCTCTTCAGATCTCTCCGTCTGGAGCGAGAGAGCGCGGGTCCGCGCAGTAACGGCTCCGCAGCGACGCGTCCCCGTCTCCCCTCTGCGCCACTGACCCGCGCCTCTTGTTTCCAGAGGTCCGGCCTCACCTGACCGCCATGGCGGACGCGGTGTACCCGGGCAGTCTGTTCTTTTCCGGACTGGCGGCGTGGGCCGGCATGCCAGTGGATCAGGTAGGTGCGGTGTCTCGGCCGCCGCGGACCCCCGGTTCACTCTGCGACGGGACGGTGTCCCGGCCGCCGCAGGCCCCCGGCTCACTTTGCGACGGGACGGTGTCCCGGCCACCGCAGGCCCCCGACCCACTCTGCGACGGGACGGTGTCCCGGCCGCCGCAGGCCCCGGGCCCACTCTGCGACGGGGCGGTGTCCCTGCCGCCGCAGGCCCCGGCCCACTCTGCGACGGGACGGCGACACACAGCCGTGATGCTTCGCGTCTTCCTGGGGGGGGGGGGGGAGGGGGGGGGGGGGAGGATCGACCGCCGGGGGATGGTGTTCCTGCCCTGGGGGGGGGGGGGGACCGGTTTACAAGTGGTGGAGAGCTGTCATGTGTCATGTCATTGGGGCTTTACGACGCACTCAGCTGCTGAGGCTATATGGCGTCGCCTGCCTCTCACCCTGGCAGAAGGGGTGGGCACCGCGGGGAATCGAACCCCGTACCTCTCGTTTCCCAGACGCGCAGTGGTTAACGCAGACGCCTTAATCATTACACTACCGGTACTCCACAAGTGGTGGAGAGCAACTGTGTGACCAGTTATAAGAAAGCTTCGGATGAACATGTCAAATCTGAAGTAAGCGTCTCCAAGACGTGATGAATTGTCAAAAGATAGTCGGCAATTTGGGGACTAATCTGCAATATTGAGTAGGCGTGAGTCTCGACTCAAGGAACCTAAATCTCAAATAACTGCAAATCTTAATAAAGTTCGCGTTTGGAACCGATGTGGGTTTCGAGATTGTCTTAATCCCGAATGCGTCTGAGCCACGAACAAGCCCTGATTAATTAAAAATAAGTCTGAGCCCTGGTTGAACATTCATCTCAAATAAGTTGTAGTACTGGATGAGTCCGAGCGTCAATCTGGTGCCCAAATACTCCCCGGAGCCGCGACTAGGTCCAAGTTTCCAAAAAACTCGGCGGTGGTGGTCTCATTGTTTCAGAGCTATGCATGTTGAGTTAGTAGTGAGCTTGAATACCGATGCTTTTGGTAAAGCCTGGGCCTCGAATAAGCTACAGTCTCGCAAGTCGGGAGTCTGGGGTCCACTTCTTCAGTAGTTCTTAGTCCTGGTACACCTTGGTCCCTTAACCCCAAGTACGCAACAGGAGCTCTAACACCAGTTCTGAATAAAGTAAAGTCTTGAATGCTGACGGTTCGGAATATGCCTGAGCGCAGAATAAGTGAGGGTCTTGGGGAGCATGATGTTTCTGTGTTCGCAAGTTTAGTTTGTTTAGTCCCATCTAGCCACGTTTTTTAGATGAGTAAAAACAATGCTGTTGGACAGTCAATGATAACAGGAGTCACGACACGTGTAATGTGCCTGAGATCCCTCTGATTACGCAAGGAACATCTGCAGTATATCTAAAGCTGTGACAGCGCGTGTTGTATTTAAAACGCAGTGCTCCAGCCCAAGTGTACAGCTTGATTTATCACTCAAAATTCTGCTCTGGTAGACGTGGTGTGGGACCACAAGTCAGTGAATGGGAAAGACAATAGGGTGTGAAGTAATTACCTTGATATAAGAAGTGTTTGATGAAAGGTTACGACCCAAACAATGCCATTTTTACAGGCCACTGTCTTAGGCAAAGCCCCATTTTGGTAAAAGTGGAGGGCGTCTCCACATATTTTCCGCAGGCGGTGGTTTGACGAACGCTGACCACGCCACGAGTCGGATGTGGTGGTCCCCAAAACATTCAGTGACTACGAAACATACGCCGTACGAAAAGATCATTATATACGTTGATAACGTCCCATCTCTTGATGTCGACTTACCACTGAACATCCTTGAGCTCAAAAGAAGTGTAGGAAAAATTGGTGGTAGGAAGTGACTGGTAGCAAGTGACTGACAAACGAGTGTGAAAACCCTGACAAACGAGTCCGAAAACCCTGATAAACGAGTCTGAAAACCCCTCCAGCAGTCTGACAACCCTGATAAACGAGTCTGAAAACCCCTCAAGAAATGAATTGTCCTAATTTGATCCTGCCGGCTAAAATCCGACCGTTGAAATCAAATCAAGCCGAAATGCAATGAAATGAAGCCCTCACAGATCGTCAAGATTCTGGGTGTCACCATCAATTCGTCCTTCCATGGGAAGGGCACATCTCCATCATCGTACGTCGCTGCTACGACATCACTGGACTCACTAGGATACGACATCGTCTTCTTAAAGAAACTAAACTCCTGATCCGGGCACTTGTATTTCCCATTGTTTCCCTGTTTGTCGGTTGGGGGAGCTGTAACGTGACTCAGATGCGACGAGTTCAAATGGTTTTGAGCGTTGACGCCCGAATCACGTGAAATACCACGAACCGTGGCCGAGTGACACTCGCGCCGCGCGAAATAAGGTGGCGCAAAATTGACGACCTTATGTGTGTACGCGATATTGCAGTCACGCGTAATATCTTCCTTTGGTTAATGTTAAAATATAACAAGTTAAAAATAGACATTTTATGCAACAAAAAGTTGTATTTATATGTATAAGATATGTAAAATATACATAGTGTTTAATATATATATATATATATATATATATATATATATATGTAATAAATGTAATATGTAATATATATGTGTAATATATATATTACATATTACATATATTACATTATATATACATATATACATATATGTAATATATAATGTAATATATATGTAATAAATATGTAATATATATATATGTAATAAAAACTTATTCGTGACATCTTTTCGTAATATCTTTACAGCTATCCAGGCGCCGGAGATGCTGTGGGAGTGCATACTGTGTGTGCAGTCCGCCGCTCCGACGTGTCCACTCGTGCCAGTCGAGCAGTGGCCGTCGAGCTGCTGCAGCTGCCGCGTGTCAGGACTGAGTTTTAGCACCGGTCGTACATGGTTCGCGCATCTAGTGGATGGAGCTCACTGCCAGCTGACATGCGTCAGCGGTCGCGAACAACGCAGCCTTTAGGACACTCGTTGGCCTCGGTCCTGTTCGTCAGACGGGACTTTGAGCGACGTTATGTGCCATACAGCGTTATGACACGGGCGACACCAAGCATACACACGTTACAATGAAAAGTCAGCAGCCGACATCTAGCATAAATGCCTCCTCCAGCGTCCGCGCACGATACTGCATGCGGCCCGTGGCGTGTGGCCCACGCTTGTCACTGGAACACCGCTCCGTCTCACTCACCACGTGTGTCGCTCGTGCGGCCCGTGGCGTGTAGCCCAGCTTGTCACTGGAACACCGATCCTTCTCACTCACCACGTATTGTTGCGTGAGTCGCTCGTGCGGCCCGTGGCGTGTGGCCCAGCTTGTCACTGGAACGCCACACCGTCTCATTCAGCACGTGTTGTTGCGCGAGTCGCTCGTGCGGCCCGTGGCGTGTGGCCCACGCTTGTCACTGGAACACCGCCCCGTCTCACTCACCACGTGTTGTTGCGCGAGTCCCTCATGTGGCCCGTGGCGTGTGGCCCACGCTTGTCGCTGGAACACCACACCGTCTCACTCACCACGTGTTGTTGCGCGAGTCGCTCGTGCGGCCCGCGGCGCGTGGCCCACGCTTGTCACTGGAACACCACACCGTCTCACTCACCACGTGTTGTTGCGCGAGTCGCTCATGTGGCCCGTGGCGTGTGGCCCACGCTTGTCGCTGGAACACCACACCGTCTCACTCACCACGTGTTGTTGCGCGAGTCGCTCATACGACCGCCAGCTCGGCGCCGGATCAGTTATGGTTGGCTGGCTCCGCAAGCCGAGCGATCGCCACCAGCTCGGCGTGCTGCCTCCTCCTTACGACGCGCCTCAGCGGCCGCCTGGAGTCGGTAATCGGAGACCGCAGTGACGCGCGCGGTGATCCCCTCGACTCCGGAGCTGGGCAGAGGACCAGGGCGGAGCTGTGTCGCCAGTCCTTACGACGCGCCTCAGTGGCCGCCTGGAGTCCGTAATCGAACGTCGTGGTGACCCATTCGTCTCCGGAGCTGGGCAGGGGGCCAGGACACTAGTCCCTGGACAGGCCCGCTCTCGTCTGCCACCTGCCGTCGCTGGGAGGACTTCCCTCGACGCGCCGCTGGGCTGGACCAAACCGCGCGGACTTTTCACTTCGTTATCACCGACATCCTCACAAGCGCATGTGTTTTTCGCGATGGTTTGGCTCTAGCCCCCGAAGTCGTAAACTGTTAGGAATACGTCGATCTCGTCCGTTGGATTGCCAGGCCCAGATCCGCGGCCAACCAATTTCCAAGCAATGGGCTTGTGAGATTGGTGCGGAAACCCTACGCCGGTGGGTCTCTGTCCGCTAAATTCCCTTGTGAGGTGGGCCTGTCAACGCACTGATCGAACCCATTGGTATGGGTCCCCGAGGTGTTCGGTTCCATTAGTCATGCTTGAGCGCCGTGTTCATGATGGCAGTACATCACTCTTCTGTTTGTTATCGTCTGGTTCATTCCACAACGCACAAGGCATTTCATGGTTGATTTAAGAGAAGTGGAAGATCCTTGTGACATTGAGGGTGCTATTGTGTGAAACAACCTGCTTGATACTGTATTGCTTGGTATAGCAAATAATGTCTCGGCCCATCTGCATCGTTCTGGACACGTGCTTAGTAAGACATCGTTGCAAATCACGCGTTATCCCCGCGTTGTGGCCCTTTTCTGTGTACCCTGAAGTGGTGTGCAACGCTTGTATCGTCACGCTCGCTTTGAGGGGCCACGAAATATCCCCGCTGCAGCATCCAGCATTGATGACGCCGCAATCATCCACAACGTTCTTATGTCGCCAATATCGCATGCCTGGCCATGATCGAGTGCAGACCCATGGGGCCCGTCCCGTTGCTGAGCAGCGGTTGGAGATGATTCGGTGCCGGTGGTCGCGACGGCATGCTGCGGCAAGATAGACACGTCCTGTGTGTCAGCTCCGAGGCGGGCGAGCCTCCCGCCGTCCGGATCTCGTGACCCCCGGTCATCACCGCGTGCGCCCGGGAGCGGCTGGCGGCACGTCCACGTGGGCAGCCGGTGTCAGTGAGAGGTGCACTGCGCGCGACATACCAGGCACGTGGTGACAAATCATTGCTGGACTCTGTCATGCTTGTCAGCAGCCTTCCGAGGAAGATGGCCGCATGCATTGTCCGAATAAGTCTGTCGTAGGAGCACCGCATGTGTCGGTATGTGGACATATGCGGTGTCCGAATACGTCTGTCATAGGAGCACCGCATTTGTCGGTATGTCGACACATGCGGTGTCCGAATACGTCTGTCATAGGAGCACCGCATGTGTCGGTATGTCGACACATGCGGTGTCCGAATGAGTCTGTCATAGGAGCACCGCATTTGTCGGTATGTCGACACATGCGGTGTCCTACTGAGTCTGTCATAGGAGCACCGCATTTGTCGGTATGTCGACACGTGCGGCGCTCGGCATGGGGAGTGCAATGATACGTGCTGCCCTTGGCTCAATCACTCCACAGATCCGCTGGTATTTCTGATGAATAGCGACGTTCATACTTCGGCGCTGTTCTTTCAACATTCGTGAGCACATAACGACCGTTTAAATCCAGGCTCGGAGATCGCCGTTCAGTGAAGAATGTCCGTCTGTTTACGTCGTCTTCCACAGCTGGCTTTGTGCTTTGTGCACTTTGAGGCTGTTTTATCAGCGCCAATTGGCTAACAGAACGTTGCGGTGCATTGTTCGGCGGTGCAGCTGCAGCGTTTCCCGGGATATGTGTTTGGAGGCAACATATGTTGCCGCGTCTCATGCGGTGCACATTCACAGGTGTCCTCGTTAAATCTGCGATGGCTGCGGCGATGGGATGCAACACAGCTGTGTCTGCATGAAAGACACAGCCAGGCAGCAGACACGGGTGAATCTCGGCATACTGTGCCATCCGCGGCCACGACTCAGCTCTGAAATTTGGCGAACAGAAAATGTGATTCACGTACTTACTATTTTTGCTTTGACAGGCACAAAATTTATGTAAGCGCAGCCTCTTGTACCCGGAGGGAGCGGGCAGTGCTGTTTCCTGTCATTTTTAATTTTTGCGCCATCCACCAAACATTGCGATGAATTCCCGCGCCAGGGGAAAATGCACCAGATGAGAGACACGAACACATTGTTTGTTTTCTTCGGTGACTGATTTCGTGCTCGTTGCAACCGCTCCGGTCTCCGGTCGGCTCAGCGGCCTGCACTGCAGCACTAGCTCTCAGGCAGTCAGTGTTGACAGATGTGACGGACGCGGCGCCGAAATAGCGCACGAGTCGATACGGCTCAGCAAATGCCAGAGGCAGACGACAAACAGGTCCATACCGGCGGGCCGGGCGCAGCGGCCGCCTGGATCTACGCCCCCGCGCCCGCTTCCTGCCAGGGGGTCAGTGCTGGGCTTCCTCGCCGTGGCGCTAGGCGCCCGCTCGGCCGTGCAGGACTGAGTGAAGCGCTCGTCGGTTGTTGTGGAACGCAGCAGTGAACGGCTGCGTACGGCACACTAAAAAAAACGTGACGAGGTTTACCCATTCGGGGCACAAGCTACCCACTGCAGCCCTATTGCTCGCGTCTCGGATCGAAAATGCGTCTCACCACGCTCCGCTGACGGAGTGTTGTTGCTTGGTGAGTGCTGTGTTTGCCCTGGGTGAATAATGTGCTCGTCCTTGGTGCCCGCACAACAACGTGAGGTGAAGATGGAACGGGCTCGAGCGGACAGGGGAGAACGGTGTGGACTTGACGGACCGCTTCCACCAGTTAACACCTCTGGGGCGCTGGTGTCCATTCCCGAGTTTGCGGGAGTCAGCTGCGAGTCTGTCAACGTGGCCTGATCTGACGCCGGCTGATGCCCATGTCCTGATCTGATCTGATCTGTCGTGGCCTGATCTGACGCTAGCCGATGCCCATGGAAAGCTCATGTCCTGATCTCATCTGATCTGATGTGATCTGATTTGTCGTGGCCTGATCTGACGCCGGCCGATACCCATGGAAGGTTCATGTCTTGTTTAGGTTTCCGTATGATTTCCGATTAATCTCTGCTGGTCCCTGCACCCATCGTGATAATAGGATGACCCAATTACGCCCCCCCCCCCCCCTCACACTCACATCATCGTGGCGGTTTAACAGTGGCGATTCTTTTTTCCGTAGGCTTGGCATGGCTGACCTTCGTTTTTGCCGACGGTTACCGTCGGATTATTGGTCTGGCGACTTAGATAACCGCGTGCAGACAGTCGGTTCTCACGTGCCATCGCCAGGACGGAGTTGCCAATCCTGTTCTCTACGGCCTCAGTAAACACCTGAGTTGGTTGGTACATCTGTGGTGTGTGCAAACGACATAATTAAACTTTGAATCAAGATGGTGTCGCATCTTGGTGCTATTTTGGATGACGCAGGTGGCTGACGCTATTTGCTAGCACTGTCCATGAAAATAACTATGTACTTACACATATATATATATATATATATATATATATATATATATATATATATATATATATATATATATATATGCGTACACATACCAGACCCCGGTTGGCTCGATGATTGCACTCAACCATGCGTGGCGCGGCTGTCGTGGCCAGCTTTAAAGGACACCAGATTGCGATGTCTGTTTATGGCCGTCTCTCACATCACGTGCCGTGGCCTAAGCTCTGATCCGATAGACGCTGGTGCCGCCCGCAAGCTGAGCCCATCCACCCACACCCTGTGCACCATTGCGGTTAGTGGAATTAGGCTGTTGAAACTGGAACTGTTGAAACTGGAACTGTTGCATATCGCATTCGGCAAAGGTGCTAACCTTGGCTGATCCTCGGGACTGTTCGGGACGGGGTAAAGCTGTTCTGGCCTGGCAACTGCCATCTGACCCCCACGGGACGTCGCTGGGAATGGCTCGGCGGGGTCGCTGAGCGCTCGTGAGGCCCAGCCACGAGCCGGCGCCAGCTTACGTCCACACGGGCCAGCGGGTGGGTGTGGCGCTGTTGCACCGCTGGGACGAGAGGGATGAGAGGCGGCGCGGTCGTCGGCACCACGCACGCTCGAGAGCCGCCGGGGGTTAAGCCACGCGGGCGCCGACGGGAAGCCGCCAGGGAAGGCTGGGCCTCTGTCGAAGCTAGACCGGCGACGGAGCAGCCCAGGAGGTCGCCGCTATCTGAACCAGACAGGGTAACAAGGGGCCGATAGGATAACACGGGAGCCGTTCTCTGAACCGGACAGGATATCGCGGGAGCCGCTCTCTGAACCGGACGGGATACCACGGGAGCCGCTCTCTGAACCGGACAGAGCAGCGTGGGAGCCGCTCTCTTAACCGGGCCGGACAGCAGGGGAGCCGCCCTCTAAATAGGAGAGGATAACACGGGGCCGCTCACTGAATCAGACAGGGCAGCGCGGGAGCCGCTCTGAACCGCACGTGACTTGGTAGCCGCCTGTTCTGTGGAAGCTCTCCCAGAGACGGGAGATACCGGTGTAAACAATTACTATTGGCAGTAAGCACGCTTCTGAGCAGTCACCAAGTGCTGATTCTACATTTCTGAGCATCGGCGGGATTCTTGAAATAGAAGGATCAGTGGGCCGTTGCTGGCCACGGTCGGCGGATGACTCGGGCGACCTGCTGACGTAAATGTCCATTCCAGCGATGCCAGTGATGCCGGACTGTCTCCCAACGCATCCCGTGATAAATGTCCCTCTGCGAGTTTCACCGTCTCCTCGCATCTTGCTCAGGTCGTCGCCACTTTGTTTATGGAACCAGGTCACCGTGCTTTCCCCTTTGAATGTCTCGTGTCTTGCCTCTCTTCCAGGTGCGTGTCACGCGCTGTGTCGTGCCGCCCCTGTCCGCGTCTCCCTGGGATGCTGTCTCGCATCCGGTCTAAACATCCCCCTGTGTCTCACCGTCCCCCTGTGTCTCACCGTCTCCTGTGTCTCACCGTCCCCGTGTCTCACCGTCCCCCGTGTCTCACCGTCCCCCGTGTCTCATTGTCCTCCATGTCTCATTGTCTCTCTGCGTCTCACCATCCCTCCGTATCTGAGCGTCCCTCAGTGTCTTACTGTCTCTATGTGTCTCACCGCTCCCGTGTCTCGCCGTTCCCATGTCTCACTGTACCTCATGTCTCACCGTACCCCATGTCTCACGGTACCCCGTTTCTCACCGTCGCCCGTGTCTCACCGCTCTCCCGTGTCTCACTGTACTTCGTGTCTCACTGTCCCCTTGTCTCACCGTCCTCCAGTGTCTCTCTGTCTCCATAGGTTTCACCGCCCCCGTGTCTCACCACCCGCTCCCCGCGTCTCACCTCCCCTCCGTGTCTCACCGTCCCCTTGCCTCCCGCAGGTGAACTTCCTACTGGGCCAGCTGGCCGGCCTGCTGGCCGCCTGCCTGTTCCGTCTGAGGCTGCCGCCCGGCCGAGTGGGCGCCACGGCGCGCCACCTGGCGGCTGCCAGCATCGGGCTGGCTGTGCTGCTCCTCTGCTACGGCCGGTACGGAACGCTGCGGTGACCTTGGAGCGGCGCGTTCCCGCCGGCGCGCCGCCAGTGGAGCCTCCCACGGGCGGGTCCGGCAAGGCGCTGCTGCTCGCCCGGGCTTGTTTATGGTGCTGTTGCCGGGTACTGAGGCGTTTTTGCGGTGATTTCAAAGACCCGTGGGTTGTCTGAGCTACCTCCCCCCTCCCCCGCTTGACTGGGTGATCACATGGACGATAGGAATGCTTGATATTCGGAGCGTGTGTGCGTGACCTGGATTCGATGCAACTTCTGCATACCTGGTGTTTGGAGGGTTGTCCTTAACGTGCTAAATGCCAGTGTTTGGTTAGATGTTTTAGGGGTGGGCCGACTACAGGTGCCATTTTGTGTCCGTTATGCGTGAAGTCGTGTCGCCATGGAACACGCCACAGTATGTCAGAAGTATTTACTATTCGACGGCCAATGGCGCGATGGGAAAATCACTTTGTTTCTGACCTGCCTCTAAAATGTAGCGCTTGGTAGCAGTCTCCACCGCTGCCGTCACCCCTCCCCCCCCCCCCACCTGTTGTCGTCACCGCGGCGGTCAGAACGGGGCGCGGCCCGGCCGACTCCGCCGCCTCAACGCGCCGTCCTCTCCTGCTGCAGGGACACCAAGCACGTGATCGCGCAGGCGGCGCTCAACTACGGCGTCATCCGCCTGGCCCCGGCCCACTCCGTCCACAGGTGAGGCGTCCACGCCGTCCACCGGCGGGCCGTCCACCCGGTCGCGGCGTCCACCGAGCCCACTGTCCGCCGCGGCGTCCCCACCCGCCGCAGCGGCCCGGACGGCGGCTGGGCCGCCGTCTGGTCCACATCTCCCTCAGTTCCGCCTGCCTTTGACATCGCCACGCCGGCGCCCTGCGTGGTTGACCTGCCGCCCCTCCCCCGCGCGCGCCGAGCCGCGTGCTGACCGGCTCCGCACGTGCTCGCGGTCTCGGCCGGAGCCGCTGCCCGCCCCCCCCCCCCCCCGCTCCAGCTGTCCGTGAATAGCTCGTGTGACCTTGGTCGGGCTGGTGCTGGAGTGCCGAGCGTGGCTTGCGCTGGTCAGCCCCGGGCGCGGCGGCGGGCGCTGGCGCGCGCACCCGGGCCGGACGACCGACTGCTGGTCGACCCGCGCCCCGGCCGCACCCGGCTGCACTGAGGCCCGGTGCGCGAGGCGGATGTCAGCGATTGCGGTGTTGACCTGGGTTTCTGGGTGCCCCGGGGAGATAAGGTCGGCAAACATCGTCCCAGGTCGGGCGCTGTAGACTGTGGCCGTGTGTGATGGCAAGCCCGGATGTGCTGACTGCAGCTACGGGCGGCGGCGCAGCGGCTGTTTGAGCTGCATAATGTGCGGTGGGGGCAGCTGTTGTGCGTTGGCTTTCCATCCAATGGGGAAGGCCGGGTGGAAATCTGCCGATCACACAGGATTCTTCGATTGTTCTCCATTGGTTGCTCACAATGGACAACTAGAAGGGGTGAAAGCTTCCGACTGAAGTGAAAGCGGTCACTTCTAATGCATTTATGGATTGAATGTTTCCCTTAGCGTAAACTGGGTGGCTTATAGTACACGGGAGCAGCGTTCATATCTTCTGATATTTGCGTTATTGGATCGGAAAACGAAAGGTGGAGAAGTGCATGGGGCAAACCACGCATATATTGACGTCCACTCCGCTAATCATGTAGCAGACCTGCCAGCCTGCGACACTGCCCTCAGACGCCGCTGTCTCCGTCGCCAGGTTGTGTTTGCTGGCGGCTATGGCGTACCTCACTGTGATCCACTACTGGCGGCTGGGCAGGCCGCAACAGTACATAGACATCTCAGGTGAGTGACGGCCGTGACCCGGGTGACCCGTCACGCGTCACAGCACGCCGGGGCGCCGCCGGGTCGTCACGCGTGACGCCCCCGGCGTCGTCGCTCCGTCACGCTGCCGTCGGACGCTGGGGCGGGTCAAAGTGACGCCACGTCGAAATCCCGGTCTTCGTCATTGGGATGACCTGTCACTGCGGGTGCCTTTGCGCTGTTGCCATCCCTGTTATTGGTCGGCACTCGTGGGCTGTTTCCCACATCCAGTGCATGCAGCAGACGTAAACTGTCAGGAGAGGGTCCTCCGTGCAGACATTCGTGACGATTCCCAGCATGTTGCCAGGTTCCCAGCGTGTTGCAGCTGTAACGTCTCCGGCCCTACAGGGCCTGTGATGGTGCTGACCATGAAGACAACCCTGCTGGCGTTCAACCTACACGACGCCAGCAGGGCCGCCTCGGGCGATGTGGAGCTGAAGCCGATGCTGCGAAGCATAGCCGTCAGGTGGGCCCGGGTCCCCGCCCAGCCACCTCAGGATCCCCATCCCCAGTACCCCTCCCTCGGGTCCTCTCTCCCGGGTCCCCTTCCTCAGGCCCCCTTCCTCGGGTCCCGCCCAGCCACCTCAGGATCCCCATCCCCAGTACCCCTCCCTCGGGTCCTCTCTCCCGGGTCCCCTTCCTCAGGCCCCCTTCCTCGGGTCCCGCCCAGCCACCTCTGGATCCCCATCCCCAGTACCCCTCCCTCGGGTCCTCTCTCCCGGGTCCCCTTCCTCAGGCCCCCTTCCTCGGGTCCCGCCCAGCCACCTCTGGATCCCCATCCCCAGTACCCCTCCCTCAGGTCCTCTCTCCCGGGTCCCCTTCCTCAGGCCCCCTTCCTCGGGTCCCGCCCAGCCACATCCTCCGGATACCCATCCCCAGGTCCCCTTCCTCGGGTCCTCTCTCCCGGGTCCCCTTCCTCAGGCCCCCGTCCCCGGGTCCCCGTCTTCAGGTCCCCGCCCAATCCCTCCGGTCCCCGCTCAGCCTCCTCCCGGCTCCCCAGCCCTCCGTGTCCCTGTCCCCAGGTCCTCGTCCAGTCCGCTCGGATCCCCGCAGTGGCGTGCCGGACCCAGGACCCCACACCGCAGCCACCTCGCGTGACCTCTGCCGCCGCGATGATGTCAGTGGGGCGAGAAGGCCCAGATCCGGCCGATCTGTCGTCCTTGGATCAATGCAACGATTTCATTTGCTTTTGCGAAACGCGACCGCAGTCAGCGCTTATCATTTTGCCGCGTATGTGACGTCAGTCTTTGACAGCCGTGTTTTATATTGAGGCTATACCGTTGAGTGATCGGGTCACATAAACTATCCGCCAAAGGCACGTTGCACGCGGTGTATGTACTCCCATCCTACGCAGTGTCTACCGAACGTAGTTCTTCACGAATGCACGCAGATATCCGATAGTTTCCAGATCTTCCGTTAAGTGCCGAAATTTCTCACGTTTTGTTCTTCAGTACATTACTATGTGTATTCCGAAGAAGTTCGTCTCTTTTGAACCACTGGTGATCAGCCCGGTACCTATAAGCTGTGTCTTCATCCCGTGCTCGAGCTGAAAGCCTAATTTCATCATCAGTGATGTTGTCCAGGGCGGCGCAATCCTTGCGGCAAAGGCCACGTGCTTGAAAGGCGATGGTTCTGACCTACCAAGACCTTGCTCGGCTCCCCTGCCCCTCGCCCTGGACGCGCCCTTGCCGTTTCGTGACGCAAACGTCAAGCGACCGATGGCGACGGCCGTGCCGGAATCAGGCGCTGCTGCTGCGCTGTATCGGGGCGCGAACCTGATGCAGCGATAGCTCTTGTTTTCCTCGGCGTGCATGGAGCCGCCTGGGCCAGTGGACCTCCGCCAGCTATCACGCCAAACATTTCCTGGCGCCTGTCATTGTCCTCCCACCGCATGGTTCACAGAAATGAGGCTGCAAAATGCTTTTAGAGCGGTTCTATGCACTTCATCGACCGATTACGCAGCGCTATGCCCCATCGTCTGACGGCGCCCGTGTTCGACTGATGAATTGGCTCGTTCCAGCAAAGCTCCGTCCCTGGTCGAGTTTGCGGGGTACGCGTTCAACTTCCAGACCGTACTCGTGGGACCAATGATAGACTTCTCTCACTACCGCCACTTCATCGAGGTTGGACTCTCACCGACGCCGCTCTCAGACAAGGTCAGAAGAAGTGCACTGCAGCTACCGTTGGCGTATGATAAGCGCAGCTGCGTCGCTCAAATTGAGATATGTATCGTCGGAGCGGGGTCCCGTAAACATCCGGCCCACTTTCTGACAATATGACAAGTGCTGGCTGGCATTGTGTTTCGAGCTTTGAAGCAAGAAGCTCTGAAGTTCCTGGGCGCTTAAAAGATAGTCGCATTTGCATATCCATTTGTGCCTCGTCTTTGATACGGCTCAACTCTGTCGCATTCGGCAGCGTTATGACGGTCGTCATTATCGCAGTGGAACGGTTCGTACTTGGCGCTAACGACTTGGTCAAGCGATTCGGATTCGTCGAAAATAGCTGGAGGGTGCAATCAGACCGACTCGGCGGCGGAAGCCCGCCCGGGTCCGCCATGTGGGGGAGGGGGGGGGGGGCGTCGACGGGTCGATGACCTGTCAGCTTGCTCTGACGGCCGGCCCGGAACTGAGGCCGCTCCCAGAGCCGCCAGGCTCGGCCGCGCTCAGAGGCCAGGGTGTCAATAGTCTGCCGACGGAACTGAGGCCGCGCTCAGAGCTGCCAGACCCGGCCGCGCTCAGAGCCGCCAGACCCGGCCGCGCTCAGAGGCCAGGGTGTCGATGGTCTGCTGACGGAACTGAGGCCGCTCTCAGAGCTGCCAGACCCGGCCGCGTTCAGAGCCGCCAGACCCGACCGCGCTCAGAGGCTGGGGTGTCGATGGCCTGTCCACATCGCTTTCCGCGCGGCACGGCTCGTAAAGCTGGCACCAATCTGCCGCTCGACATTATCCGGGGACATCGTGGCTCGTCGCGATCGTGCCGTCGTTCCAGCGCCGTGATACCATTTGCGACCGTGTACAACTGTCCGGTGTCTGTTACTCCACGAAGTGGGTTGTGTAGCGTCACAGCCGTCCTACCGACCCTGGAGCGCAATTCACAGAGTCTTCTGGAAAGGCGCCGCTGGCCTTTCCTCTCGCTGGCTGTATCTGTCTGTAACAGGTAATTGGCACCGATTTTCGTCGGACTCTCAATACCCTAAATCTGCTCACGTAAGTTGGATCTCAGCGAGCCTCGACTGACTTGTTTTGGTTTTCCGCCGAGCCTCCTGTGACCCTCCACTGGATAGCTCTGCCTGGCGTGACCGGTCCTGACCTGACCGCGTCCGACCTCGGCGGTGCGCTGAGCCCGGCTCGCTTTTGCTGACCTGGCCCTGATCTTTGCCGACCGGCTGCCAGGCTAGCTCGGACGACAACGACAACCTGGTGTCGCCGTCGCCTACGCCGGCCGTCCTGCGCAAGATGGTGCTGGCCATGATCACCTCGGCCTGCGTGGTGTTCCTGGTGCCGCTGGTGCCGCACTCATTCTTCAAAGGTGTCGTCACAGAACTCGACCGCGCGCTCTACTGTATAATTTTATGCTGATGTGTTTTTTTTACGGATAAGTGGGCAGCCCTTTGCTGTAGAGTTTTTAAATCAGCTAGTTGGTTATGCTTCATAGTGTCAAATGCTTCTCGCAAACAGGGATTTTAGGGCTATTATCCAGGGTTGACTTCCGTTGCGTGAAATGGCCATATCAACGCTGTGTCATGCACGTTATGTACGTGCGTAATATGCAAAAATACTGGCTGTTGATTGTGATGGCGTACCCCGATTAGTTGCACGAGGATTGCACGTGTTTCGAAGCGGGCTTCACTTGCAGTAGACGGAATGTCTCACACCCAGACTGATGTGGGACGTTTTTGTGCTAGACCGTAATCCATTGTGGTTTGATATGACATCATCAGGCCTCTGTCTGGAATGCTGATTACCACTATCCGTCTTGCAGAAGAATGTCGCGCTAATTAATTCGCTCGTCACGCGCGCGTGACCGCGAGCTCGCAATGTCATAGTCCGCCACAACAGCCAACTACCATCAGCGTCACCGTGCACCCATGTCCGCACCCATAGCTCGAGCCAGCGTCAGCCCCCGCGCGCAGTGAGGCCGACCAGCGGCGCCGCCGCCGCCGACCGGCCGGTGACGCTCTCCCCGCCGCAGAGGAGGCCTACCACGCCTGGTCGTGGCGCCGCCAGTGGGGCTACATGTACCTGTCGGGCATGATGGCGCGCATGAAGTACTACGCCGCCTGGACCCTGGCCGAGGCCGTCTGCAACGCCTCGGGGCTCGGCTACAGCGGCCGGCGTGACGACGGAAGCCAGCGCTGGGGGGCCGCCGCCAACGTCAACGTCTGGAAGGTCGAGGTACGGATGATTCGGAGCGTCTGATGTGGGTTGGTAATTATTGGGCTTTTAGGGTGTATGAACTGCGTTGGTTATTGGGGCCTCGATGTGAGTTGATAGATGCATCGGGGAAGGGATGTGGGCCCGTTGGGGAAGGGTACATACAAAAGCGGCGTGCGTTGGCTTGTGCGGGGTATGTGAGGGTGCCCAATATTTGGGGATGAATGTACAATGTGTGGAGTGTGTTCAGATTAGACGTAGATACGTTGGAAAGTAGCCACTGGGTTGGGGCGTCCATGGGCAGACTGTCTGCATTTCGGAGCTGTAAAGAACGCGTGTGAACAAGATTAATGTCGTCGTATGGAGAGCAAAACTAGACGCCTCTCCCCTTGTGCCTCCCGCATGCAGGAAGCACCTGGAAAGGCACATAAGCCTCCCACGATGCCCATGTTCATACGGCGGGCGCGTTTGTCACTGCTGGCTTCAGTCGGAGCAGAGAGTGGCTCGCTGCACCCGGCCCGACCCATCGCATTTGTTGGCTAGGCCCGTCTGGGCACGGAAATATATTCGGTTTTGTTCTAGTAATTCGCTTCGCGATATTTTTAGCTTCTGATCAGAGTCGGCGGGATCAGTAGCCGCGGGGCTGGTAATGGGATCCGACCTCGGACCTTTATGTGCCACTGGAGGGCTTGTGGAAGCCCGATGAAAGCCTCGTGCGATGTGCGCCATTTCGGAGGGAGGCGCTCTCGTTTGCAAGTCCATTGTGGGTGCGGTATTAAGTACGTGACCGCCCCCAGCGTTTCAGATATTACCAAGGGAAAATAAATTGCTGGCCCTTGACGAATGCTGTCGTCCGTATCGCTGACCGCGGGGTCTTCAGGTCACGGTCAATAGGTCACCACCATCCAGACGCGTGACTGGCGCGTTGCGAGCGAGAATCAGAAGATGCAAACGCTAGTATTCGCGGGTCGTGGAGGGGTGTGTTCGAACTGTGGTGAATGGGTCCGGGGTATCGCATCTCACGGTTTTCTCGACGTGGTGCGTGCTGGGGTGTGGTCAGAGTGTGAGTGCACACGCAACACTGAGAATGCAGAGACAATACTTAATCGAAGTGCTTCTGTGTTAAGATCAGTTGGATGGTGCGTCATGTTTTTAGTTCATTGCGCGTCGTTAGCGGGACAGTTTTTGCTGGCCGGAATGGTGCGGCCACTGCACTGATTGGCTGGTAGTATCTCATGCTGTATTCCTGTTACGGACTGAAGGCAAGCGGGATGCGATGTTGTTGCCTTGGAGGCCTCGTGTCAGCAAGCCGCGCAGTTTTTACGCCAATGCTGCCACAGTAACACTGACTTCTCCTTGAACGGTACATCCTGTTGTCACGACGACCAGCAGGTCATTCCCTTGACGTCTTGTTTTGGACCAGGCCCAGTAAAGTCACATCCCCTGCTGCTGCTCGTCGTAACCATGCCGAGCAGTGAGAATCTGCGACGGTAGATTGGACAGTGCTGCATGGGACAGGATCGAATATGCAGCGACGCTCGATTGCTTACTTGACGACTCCTGCTTGCCTGCCGGGGTGCTGGGGCCGCTATCGATGTTCGGGGTGTTGTCCGGGTGGTCCGGGTCCCAAGCGAGCGTCCCGCGCCATAGGACTGCTTGCACGTCTTTACTGCACGTAAAATTGGACGCTGCCTGTAATTAACCAACTTGTCCCTCCGCGTGGCTTTCGTCAGCTTTAAAACACGCCGGGGCCCGTGCCTAATAGTTTTTCCTCATCTGACTGCTCCGTTTCCGGAAATTTGCCGTTCATTGCTAGCTAATTCATCTTCTGTGTCTGTAGGTCTGTAGGTCTTTGCTCACTTCTGGTCTGCTTCTAACGGACGCTCGCAGGAATGCGTGATATGCAATAACACCTGAACATCATGCCCGACTATTGTTGACCTCTTTTGGTCTGTGTTTACGCAGTCTTAAAGCTTCGCCAGCACCTGCTGTCTCCTTTGCCCTCGGTTTTGTCCTGATGATGTTCAGACTGCCAAGGCTTGGCAGCCACCGCCGTGTTGTAGTGCCTGTACCATACTACGTGCTACTACAGACTATGTCTATCACACCACATGCGCTAACTGATATCACACTACTCGAACACCTGTCAGCCCTGTGATCGCTCCCGGCAACCCAGCTCACCTGTCGTCCGCCCCCCCCCCCCCCCCCCAGTTCGGCTCCAGCTTCCGGGAGGTGCTGGAGGGCTGGAACGTGGGCACGGGTCGGTGGCTGCGCCTGGTGGCCTACGAGCGAGCCAGCCGACACCGCACGGCCGCCGTCTACGCCCTGAGCGCTCTCTGGCACGGCCTCGACCCCTGCTACTACGCCACGTTTGCCGTCGGCGCCCTTTGCACACAGGCCGGACGTGAGGTGAGCGCCGGTGGCGCCACGGTCGGCGTGGTGTAGAACTAGCTCTGCCTCGCGTTCTCCCTCAAGTTGATGTTGATTTGTGTCCGTGTGGTCGAAAACCAATGCGTCAGATACGATGGCTGATGTGAGAATTGGCCAGACAGCTGTAAGGTGCCATGTTCTGTGCTGGATTGCAATTATGCGCGTGTATTTACGAGTTACGGTGCTGCTCCGCCATGGGTGGAAGCTGTCGTTCCCAGGTGCACTTGTTGTTTCGACTCGGATGTGATGATATAATTTAATGCAGATGAAGCGTCCTTAATCGCCCGCGTGGCAACGTCAGCAGTCGCCCGATCGTCGCTGGCCGCGGTGCGTCAAGCAGCGCCTCTCGCGGTAATTTCAGGGCCGGCGCTGTCTGCGGCCGCGCTTCCAGCGCTGGAGGGCCGGCCGGCTGCTGTACCACCTGGCCGGCTGGGTGGCCACGCGCGCCTGCCTCGCCTACCTCCAGATACCGTTCGTGTTGCTTGACATGCGCACCTCGCTGCGCGTCTTCTGGTGAGTTGGGCTGAGGTGGGTGGGTCTTCTGCTCTGCCGTCGGTGCGGCTCGCTCAGGACGCGATGGTGGACGCGAACGTTCCGCGCTGTACACTCGGTCGTGGCTGCTTCTCGTCGCTCAAGTGGTCTGAAAACGTGATCGATGAATTCGACTCGCTGTTTTCCGACTGTCGATATCAAGCCGCCCCCGTCCTCTCGCAGGGACCTGTACTTTATAGTGCACGTGGTGTGCGTGGCGATGATCCTGCTTCTGCCACGCCTGATGCCGCCGCCCGAGAAGACGCCGAGCGGTTACCTGGCGGGCGCCTCGATGTCCGTGACCTTGTCCAACGGCCGGGCGACCCGGGACAGCACCAAAGCGACGCTCGAAAACGGCCGCGTAAACCGGGAGAACGGCCGCCTGGCCAGTGACGTCATGGCCGCCGGCCTGCGCCACCGGACCTCGAACGGCACGGGTCCGGGACCGATGGTGAGCGAGCTGGCGTTGGCGGGCGCCGGCGCCGGGCTCCGAGTGTCGTGAGGTCAGCACGAGGTCGCGTGACGGGGTCTAGTCCCGCCGGCCGGCGGAGGTCGGACGGCCACGCCGGCAGCGCCGCCTGGTGAGCGGCCTCGGTGGACTGGAAGCGTCCCGCTGATGACGAGCGGCGGGAGGGCTGAGCAGCTGCCGTGCCAAAGGCCGCGGGTGTGGCCTCGCGCCAGGGTCGTGTGTTGGATATGATTGTGAACACACCGTGAGGCGTGGCACCTCAATCCAGTTAAGTTCCAGCCGTAGGTGGGCCCGAGTGAAGTACTTAGTGCGCTTCGGACTTTTGCAGACAATCCAGCTCTCTGTGGGTTCCTTTTTTAAAGGAGCTGTGATCTTACGCTTCGTGCTGTGTTTTGATGTGGCGGGTTTCCGCATAATTTTGCATGTTTTCGTGAATGGGCTCTGCACGTCATCTTTTGCTGCTTTGTGCGCTTCTTTGTGATCAACTCGGTGCGAGCGGTAGGCACAGATGTGACGACGCGGGTGTTATTTGGCACTGGCTCACTGATTGTACTTAGCCCGCAACCGGATATCGCGTTTTGATTTTGATCGCCTGGAGTACGTAGAACGCACGTCGATAATGGCAAAGCTGGCTTAACTTTTCGTATGTGAAGGTTGTAATCACATTCTTTAGGAACCCATCCAACCTCGGTAGAAAACATATAAAGGAACGTTGCGGAGTAGTGCACTGTTTTGAACTTGTCATTTGGCAGTGTTGCATATGTTTAGAGACCTTTTTTAGTCAGAGCTTCAAGCTTTTTATTGCAGCTCTCTGGCCTTTATTTTGTGTACTTTTGTATCACTCATCAAGACTGCTATAAACCGATCATGGACGCAATACAGCTTGCGGTTTGACATTCGAAGTGCTGGGATTCTTCAGAGCCGCTCGTGGTGTTTTTCCCTGCGTGTATGGTGATCATGCAAAAATACTACGTCTATGTTTATATCTACTTGGGCATTACTCACGCTAGGTGCAGATAAAGCACAGTGAGGGATCTTGCACCCTTGTTATGGGTCTATGCACTCCTCGTACTGTCAGTCGTGTTCAACCAGTCGTACCCATTGGTTACGCTCGATTTCGGCACGTGCAATTACTTTCACCAATCTTGGTATCTGGTGCTAAAGGGTCATGAGCTTGCTCACTTCGTAGTTCGCACCGCACGCGGGGCACTTCTCGGTTTGTATGTGTGCCGTAGAGGGACACTGAATAGCTACATGATTTATTCCGTACTGAAATGTCACAAAACAATGCCACCTGACACTCAAATGTTACATGGCAGCACGAATATCACATATATAATATGACATACGTCGGGGGATATACGGCGCAGCTACCACGGATAACTAGGCGGAACACGCATTGTGCGCCGGCCGCTGTCCACATTTACATCCCGTCCGTAACGATTTGGCGTCGCGCCGACCGACAGCGGCCGGCAGAGCGGCTGCGCAGTGCCGCCACTCCTCTCGCAGCGGCGGATGAGCAGAACAGTGCCGTCATGAGCGGCCACTGACCAGCAGTGCCAGCTGGCGCCGCCGTCAACACGCAACGCGGTCCGCGTAGGTTCCCCACGGCAGCTCGACTCGATATGCAGGCGATATTGCAGAATTACACGTACGGAAGACTTGGCAGATCGCGCGGCGCTAGATGGGCAGGGGAGGAGACGTGCGAGCGGACTTCTACAGCGGCCCCCGGAGTGCGGGAGCCATTACTGGCGACTAGGTAGCTTACAACTGAGGTCTGCGACCCCGTAACAAGCGCGTCACGCCGCGCCGCAGACCTCGCACCGGTTATCGATCATTCGCCTTCATCAAGCGCCCCGTTCCAGGCCAGCCCTGTGGTACAAAACGCCGCGTGCTTCACGCCGATGCCAGCGCGCGACTGAACGGTGTTCGGTCGGCCGGCTGTAACAGCCCGAGCTCATCTGAACTCCCCGCGAGCCGATCAGGGGATTTCTCAGGTGATGGAAGTCGTAACAGCCTGCAGAGCCCCGCACACGCAACGAACTGAGCGCGGTCTCGGATACCGTGAACTGATGAGACACACGCCACGCGGCTTCAGTCTGCTCAGTCCGCAAGTCGAGATGCGAGGAAAACTCCATCGACCGAAAGCCAGCACAGTGCGCTCGACCCCGCACAGCACCATCCTGGTGCTATGGAAGTGAGCCTGGACTCGCACGAGCGAAATGACATTCGCGCCAGACCTAGTTTTTCGCGTTCAACAGTCGGAAGAATAAAAACAACGTTTTGGTTCAGGTTGAGCGACCGCAGTCCGGTCACCCCACATTACAAGGCAGGACATGGCAAGCTCAGAGCCAGCATCTTGACACTGCCGTTGTACACAGCCTCCAGGGCTGCGAGTATTAAGCGGTCCTACTCAACACACAGACTGCGCTCGCCGGAACTCAACGACTAGCCTAGCCAATGCGACTGCTTATCAACTAGTGGCCAACTTCGGCTAGTCATCTACTTGTGAAATCTACTGCACCAAGGTCGGATAACCGTGCCTTGAGGGTCCTCCAAATTGAGGAGAATATGTCTGCGAATGAAATCGTGACAGCGTGTGTGGAGGCACGTTTTGGATTATGACAGTTTTCGTATTCCTAAGCCGGCCGAGAGGATCGCGTGTTCGCAAAAAGATTCTCTCTGCTGTATTTAACGAGAAGATGATGGAAGCGGCGCACTCATTCCAGTGACTCCGCAAGTTGGGGGGGGGGGGGGGGGGCACCCTGACTGAGGAATGCCTCTAGCGCTGGGCCGAGGCGCCGGGCTGGAAAAGAACTGACGTCTCTATCGGGCTCCATCCGCTATGTACAGGCTTGGGCCTCTGTTACCTCGGTTGGTTGGGCCTAGGTTGTTGGTTCTAAGTGCGTTCATCAGTGTCGAATCACGGCAGTGACGGTCGACGTCAGATTCTGTCACGCCCGGCTGCCTCCGTGCAGCTGTTCTTAGCCCCCTTCAGCTCCCTTTCCCCTACCCGTTGCGTCCCTGAACACTGTGTAGCAGACGAGAACCTTGGCTAGGGGTTGAGGAACAGAAGCGCCCGCCTCCCAGAAACCGGCCAGCCAGCCCGGGTTGTGAACCAGCACCCACTCCCTTAACCAGTGGTAGCCTTCAAAGTGCCACCAGTCGCCGCCGACCGTCCACTGGCCCCGAGCAGCCTCTGCGCCTGCTCACCGCGCGCCCTCCCCGCCCTCCGAATCACTGTCAGTGACCGGCGACCCACCGCGAGGGACCATCCGACCTGCCGCAACGGTGGATGACCCTCAGAGACGGCCGACTGGCACGGCCCGCGGAGGTGCTCCACGGTCACCTGACGGTGCCTCAGAGACGGCCGACTGGCACGGCCCGCGGAGGTGCTCCACGGTCACCCGACGGTGCCTCAGAGACGGCCGACTGGCACGGCCCGCGGAGGTGCTCCACGGTCACCCGACGGTGCCTCAGAGACGGCCGACTGGCACGGCCCGCGGAGGTGCTCCACGGTCACCTGACGGTGCCTCAGAGACGGCCGACTGGCACGGCCCGCGGAGGTGCTCCACGGTCACCCGACGGTGCCTCAGAGACGGCCGACTGGCACGGCCCGCGGAGGTGCTCCACGGTCACCCGACGGTGCCTCAGAGACGGTGATCAGAAGTGGTCGACCAGCACGGAGACGCAGTCGGCGCCGACGCGGCTGGTGCGGCCGTCGGCCGTCAGCCGCACGTTCTGCCAGCTGTCCGGCCGGCCGCGCGGACTGTCCGAAGACTTGAGCGCGAAGCTCCAGCTCTGCGGGTCGACGGCGGCGCAGTGCGGCAGCCGCAGCTCCACCGGCACGTCGAACTGCAGCCCGTGCGGTCCGCACATCACCAGCGGGCTGAGCAGCGTCTCGCCTGCCGACACATGGCCCAGCAGGCTGATCGGAAAGCCGCGAGGCGTCACACGAGCTCGTGTGTCCGCTGGGAGCCCGCGCTCTCCCCAGCACATATCCTCACGACACAACACGTTCGCGAACCGCCGCGCACGCCGCCACTTCAGCTCAGCCTGCCACCGTCGTACTCTATCTCCCGTTCAGAGCATTGGCCTGCACATCCATCACCCTTCCCCGACACGCACACCTCGGCCCCGCCGCTCCCCACTCCGCCACGTCCCACCGTCTCCGGCTGACACACCGCAACCCCCCCTCCGCCGCCGCCACTCACCTTTCCTGGCGTCGAGCGGCGGCAGCAGCGAGCTGTCCTGGCACACGTTGAAGTAGATCTCCTGGGTGCGACCGCGCCGGATGGCGCCCGGGGGCACCACCACGGCCACGCCCGTCTCCGGGTCGTGCAGCACGCCGCCCTCGTGGCCGAAGAAGCCGCGCGCCGAGGCGCGCGCCCGGCCGCCCTCCGAGCCGTGGGAGGAGCGCCGGCTGGCGGCAGGGAGGCGTGACAGCCGGGTACGGGACCGCCGGCCGGCAGCAGACGCATCGGGGGCGATACGGTGCCGGTCGGACGGCCGGTCGGACAGAGAAAATGGATACATGGACTTAGACCAGGGCTAGATGAAGCAGCTCCTTAAAATGAGTTGATCATTGCTTGCTTTACTTTATTATTACTCATTCATGCATTTATACTTCGAACTGCTTTCTGAGTTGCTTGATAAGTGACGGCAAATGGGTTATTACAAGGCGCCCGTAAATCAATATAGCAACGCACAGAACAGTTCGCATAAGTTTGAGGCTGTCATGGGCAACATCCTATACTCGCTGAGAATGGGTCGCGCAGTTGCGCAAACGCCTCTGAAGGGGACAGCCCATCGACACTCATATGCGACGCTGCGCCCACACGTCAGACATCCCACTCAGTCTGCTGATGCTTCCACTAGTCGAACCAGTGCAATAGTGCCCAGGAATATTTCAAGACGTAATGAGCTCCCCGCACAACCTGCTTCACGTCTAGCTGTTAGTGCACCAAAAAGCCCAATCAAATGCATCCATCGGGCGTTCTAGCATCCAGAGGAAATATCGGATTCCCGTGACGCAGTCAAACAACAGTCCAGCTGTCTGGCTGCTCGGACCCCACAGCGAAGGCGCAGCCCCCGCTCAGCGCGGAAGCCAGGCTGGCAGGCCGGTGCGGCGGTGCCAAAGGGTGGATGCAACAACAATCCACGCCACCGGGAGCGGCGACGGCGACACAGGCGGAAACATTTCACCGTTTTATTCAGCTCTCCCACATAGGTCTTACTCGTGTATATGTCTGCATACAGGTCAAATCTGTACATCTAAAAACTGCGCAACATGAGAATCGAGCTAGAGTGCCGCGACACTCGCATCCATGATATGAAACCACAATGATCCCACACTGGTGATCACAACAGACGCTTGTGACGCGATGGGAGCGGAGGGAGCCCGTCGAGGGTCGGTGAGTGCGCATGCGGCTACGCTACAACAACACGAAAAACCAGCCGGGCGTACACTTCAGACGCGCCGGAGCCATGCATGCCCGCGCGCGCGCGCCGAGCGGCAGCCGACAACACCGCGCAGGCCAGCTGCGCATGCGCAGTACTACCTGGCGCTGTGCTCGGGGAACTGGCCGAAGCGCGGGTCGAGCGGCTTCTTGTACAGTTCAAAGGCGCTGCCGCGTTGCTCGCGGTTGCTGAGGTCGAGGCCGGCCGTCTCGTGCGGCGCCGCGCCCGGCCCGCTCAGGTAGTAGCCCTGGCCGCCGGCGCCCGCGGGCGGCATGTTCATGTACGTGCGCCCGGCCGCGTCGTAGTTGCGGTCCAGACTGGAGCCGTGGCCCGAGTCAAAGCCGCCGCTGTCGTCGCCGTTGACCGGGTAGCCGACAAAGTCCTCGCGGCTGCCGCGCGAGTCCGGCGTCTTGCGCAGCGGCGAGTCGGGCAGCGCGCCGCGTCGGTACGTGTCGCCGGCCGCGCCGCGGTAGCTCTTCGGCTTGGGCGGCGGCACGGGCTTGTAGCCGGCCGCGCCCTTGGGCGGCGGCAGCGGCTTGTAGTCGGCACGCGCGCTGCAAGCACAAACGCGCGTCACATGCAGCGCGGGTCATCCGGCCAAAAATGTACAGCAGCCGCCGCAAAAGAGACAGCACAGCGCCGGCGACCGCGGCGGCGGTGGGGGCAGCCGCGAGGCGTCCAGCGCACATGCAGGTGACGCGACACACGGCCATGCGGGCGTCAGCTCACCTGGGGCCGCGCGGCGCCGCCTCGCGCTCGCCGCCCGGCGAGATGGGCTGGGCGGTGCTGCGCGTGAACCGGTACGGGTCGTGCGCGCGCGGTCCGTGGCCCGGCGAGAGCGGCGCCTCGTGCAGCTCGCGCGGCGGCATCGAGCGCGCCTTGAGATCGTCGTGCATGTTGCTGAAGCGGTTGTACGACTCGTACGACGAGGAGCTGTCGTAGTTGTTCTGCGGCAGAGCGGCGCGGTGGCCGGGTCAGCACAGTGAAACGTACGGGAATTAAAGAACGGTGTCAGGCGGTGATTTGACACAGCGTGACCCTCACATCTGGCCGAAGGGAATTTCGTGACGGCCCGGCATGGAGTCTCCTTACTGCTTCGCAGTCTTAAACATGCCATATTGCTGAGTGAGATGCATGGACAGGAAAATGTGCAATAACAACCACGGGCCTGCAAAAATAAATACTTTTTACCTGGCTTTTTCTTTTAAAATATGTTGGAGGATCACAGGCACAAATAATTGCACAAGGACACACCTCAAGCAGCTCCTGCCGAGTCACTGTGAACGGCTCTAATCAACACAGCACAGCAGACATGCTCCTGCCTCAAATCTGGCACGAGCAATTTGCTTTTCACCGTACCACTCATTTGCGATGGGTAGCAGTTTTCCAACAAACAAAGGACTTGCAAAACAACGACGCACATGTACCTAATAAGCCGCGCTTCTTGTGAAATTCCCCTCCCCCTCTCCTCCACCGCACTCACTGTCCTTATCCGGTCTAGCGTGAAGTTCTTGGAGGCGCTCAGGTAGGGGCCGTCCTCCCCCCTGTCGAGGTAGCTGCGCAGGTGGGCGCCGGCCGCGCGGCCGTAGCTGCGCGTGCCCGTCACCGGCGAGAGCGGCTTGCTGGCCCTGTCCACCTGCGGCGGCGGGCCGCCGCCCGTGTCGCCATTCGTGCGGAAGTCGTGCGGCAGCGTCTGGTACGGCGAGCGCGGCGACCCCGGCGAGCCGGCGCCGGGCCGCGAGCGGCCGTCGGCCGGCGACAGCGGCGGGTACTCGTCCGAGGAGAAGCGCGAGAAGCCGTACCGACTGTCGCCGCCGTGCGAGCTGCGCTTGCCGCCCGACCGCGGCGCCTCCTCCTGCCGGCGCGGGCGCACGTGTCGGACAACGCACGCGACGCCGGCCGGAGGCCGTGTGATCGGTGATCGATTGATGGAGAGAGTGGCGTCGCTACACAAGAGCACGGAAGTCTGGGGGGGTCGGCGCTGTTGCGACTCTATGGTAAAACGGACGCTGCATGTCTGTCGTGGTTTTCTTTGTTTCAAGGTGATACTTTGCTTCTCTGCGTTGTGATATCATTGGTGTTTCCAAGGTGATAAGCCTCTGCAATACAGCGCAGGGACAACGCTACTTCCACAGCCTTGGCTAAAGCACGACCTCCTGCCAAGATGTTCGGATATACTTCGGACCTCACTGAGCTCTTTATGGGGTCTATCGGTAGCACGCGCCTGTTTCTAGGGCCCGCCGACGGGCTGCACTGACCTGTTTGTAGGGGCTGTAGGGCGGCGGGCCGGGCACGCCGGAGAGCGGCGGCGGCACGTCGTCGGCCGCCAGGCTCGGGTCGGACGAGCTGCGCACCAGCCGCGAGTCGGACGAGGCCGGAGATGCCACCGGCGACCGGCTGGGAGACGTCTCGGTGCCCTCCAGGTCCGACTCGGGCGACGAGGCGTACGACAGGCGCGACGTCATCGGGAAGAGGAAGTCGTCCGAGAGAGACTCGCCCGGCTGCCGGCGCGGAGGTGGCGTCAGGCGCCGCTGCCACAGGCCGGGTGACACCGACACCGAGACGGGGCGTGGCGACTGGGGCGTCAGGCACAACGTGACGCGATAAAAGATACAGACATGTGATGTCAAGCGTCCTCAATCTGAAAAATAATAATAATTTAACGATATACAATACGGATTTTTTACTGATGGCCACCATCATAGCCAGACGGAGACTGAAAGCCCATCAGTCATGACCAGCTCGGGTTTGCAGCAAGGAACCAGACACAGATATCGAGGTGTTTTGATTGTAGGTCCCAACTGAGTTTAGCACATTCTTCAACAGACACGTCACACATAACTTGCGCGTGGATTCTAAAGCGACCTGAGACCCTGCCTTTGTAGAGTACAACTAAGATCTCAGACTCTGCCTCTGCCTTTTCCTTCGTGCGCACACTTCATACCTGCATATGTCGAGTGCTTAACGCCGCCGCCGTAACCACTATACCACCCGGCCACCCATACTACCTCACCACCCACCTTGGTCTCGGACATCCACACAGGCGCGTTCTGCTGCTTGTCGATCAACTCCTTGACCTTGCGGTACCAGCCGTCGGCGTCCGTCATGGTGATGGTGGCAGTGAACACGTGCGACCATAGCTTCTCCAGCTTCACGCACTGCTCGAAGATCTTCTTGTTGGACTTGTTCTGCGGCCTGCACATGGGGGAAAGCAAGGTTTCAAGAGAGATTCGAACCTACGCGAGCAGCCTATGACACCTTGTGTCGGAAACGTTAGCACCTCCTCCACCCCGGGCAAGAGATTGGCTTGCGCCCTCCAAGCGCACACAAATAAAAAGGATCAGTACTGAGCGACATCTTTTGTATCATCGCAGTGCACCAACCGTTTGCGATGCAGCAGGCAAGCGATGCTCTACCGCACCAAGCGGCAGGCCCCCTCCCTCCCCTCCCCTCCCCTGCCGTGGGACACTCACTTGTCGGGCGCACGGGCGGCGCGCACTTCCTTGATCACGTGCTTGCTCTCGGCGCGCAGGAAGATGCACACGGGGTAGAGCTGGGCGAAGTTGAGCCGGTCGACGGCGTTGGGCGTGACGTCCAGCAGCGCGTGTCGGCCGCGCTCCACCAGCTCGCGGATGGCGCTCAGCCGGATAATGCCCGAGCTCTTGGTCTTGGACTCGTCGCTCATGTCCAGCTCTGAGGCGATGGAGAAAGAGGGGGGCACGGTGAGCTAGCGGCGCCCGGTGGGAGGAGGGCAGAGGACGGGAGTTGACCGGAAGGCAGTTGGAGGAGTCAAGGGCGGGGAAGAGAATAGCACTTTGTGCAGAAGATAATCTTAGTTGGGTTAATACGAGGCTGTTAAACGAGGCGGAAATCGTCAACTACGGCATCACCACGACTGAAGCAGTCTCAATGTTAATATATCAGGCTAAGCGACAGTAATATTAGTCAGTCAATCACACATACCTGAACAGCCGCCAAAACCACACGTCGATGATCACCAACAATATCCACAACACACAAACTCCAAACTCCGAGTGGTGTTAGGGAGGAGATGCGTGGCCGCAGCCAACTGCTCGTGCTCGGCAAGACGCGTCCACCACGCCCAAAATACAGCTCGGAGCGCCTGTTGGTGTACGAGTCCGACCACCAACGTAATATGTGCGACAGCAATGGCCCGCTCGTGTACAACCACCAATGAAAAGTTTTACAGCACGTGCCATGCACGGCGTTTCTTAGAGATGACGATTTGATGTGGTGCATTTCGTGCCTTAGCAATCTACGTGCAACTGATCATACTCCCTTGACAGCCAGCGAATGCGGCCGCGCATTATACTCCCTTGGATAGGTGCGCCGAACAGCATAACAAACGCAGCGTTGGGAAGTAAGACTACGATGGAAACATCCCTCCACATGCCCATTTCAACTCAAAGCTGACATGCAAACTTTTCCCCAGGTGTCTGCACGTTATCGCGACCACAATGCACGGCGTTGGCATGTCCACGAGCAAAACCGCCAACAGCTCGTCACTGCTACCGCATGATCTACCGTCCGCCAAACGGACCTCGCCACCATGGAATCAGGGTGCGGCTACAAAAAAAGTGCTCGCGAGCCCGACGCGTGCCGGGCAGGGTTCCCGCGGACAGAGGGGCAGGCAGTCGACCGTCAAGACAGGCAGGCAGGTACGCGGCAGGCCTGACAGGCAGCAGGCAGGCAGGCAGGCAGGCAGGCGGGGTGATGGGACTGGGAGACACGGGGCGAAGCACTCACTGATGTAGTTATCCTGGTATTGCAACACAGGGTGGTCCCCGAGGTCTGCAAAAGAGCGGCGCAGTGTCATCACCGGCTCCACCCGCCCATTCTGCTTCAGGGCACCCACCCCGGCTCGGACCAAGCGAGTGGCGTTAGGCGTGTTAGGTGGAGGCCTGGGTCCGCTGAGGAGCGTCAGAGAAGTCCGGTGCTGCAGCAGCGAGAGAACACATGGGAGATGACGTTCTCACACGAACGTGACTTTGAGGGGTTCAGGTTCGTCCAAAACTCCCGCGCCATCTGCGGAAACGGAGCCGTTAGAGCTGGTAGCCGGTGTTCGCCTGTGAAGTGGGCCGGAGTGCCTGGCTGGCCGCAGTGCGCGCGGCTCTTTCGGCCCATCACCAGCTCCCGTTCGTGGCCCACAAGCCCAGTCCCAGGCCCATTCGTGGCCCACAAGCTCAGCACCACGCCCGGTGAACAGGCGGGACCGTCAGCCTGAGCTTATCTCGACGAAACACACCAAAGCGGTCAGCCTCCCGCGTCCGGCCACGGCCATTGGCCATCCGTCTGCCCCATCCGCCAATCACCGTCCAAGCCACCGTGACGTCACTCACGTGGTGCGGCGAACTTGTCAGGCATCTCCTTGAGCAGCAGTTCGCGCGTGATGTCGGCTACGGCTCCGAACAGCACGACGGGCCGCACAAAGCCACAGCCGCGCAGCACAACGCGCTCGTAGGCCGGGAACTTGGACACCGAGTCGGAGAAGACCACGTCCTCCCAGTGGTCCTTGCCGAGCGACTTGGAACGTCGCTGGCGCCGCCGCCGGCTGAAGAAGCGGCTACGCGTCTCCGTGTTCGTGTGCTCCTTCTTGGCGGCGTTGAACTGGGCTGTGGCCAGCTCCTCGGCCCGGGCCTTGTTCGGGATCACACCCTTCTGCGTCTCCTCGTTGTTGCGGCCTGCGGAACGAGGGGAAGAACTCCAGACGGTGAACAGGAACGGGAGCGTTATAGGGGGCATCACCGTTTCAGTACTCGATCGTCGCAATAGAGACACAGGAGTGTTCAGATTCCTTAGTGCGTTGCGACATGCGCCTGCTTGTTTAGGATGTTCCGCGAGAACAGAATGGTTGATACGCACGTGGACGTGACATGTCAATGTGCGCATGACGAGGCATTTATTCACCAGAAGACCAGACCAGACAGGACCAGCCACCAGTACCCAGCCGGTCTCTCAAGAGACCATCTGCGAAATCCATACCGTCCCGTTGCTACAGTTAACACCAACATGAGGTCTACAATAAAGACCGTCCACCACATGTGATCGATGGGTAACGCAGTGATTCGTTAAATACCACCAGATAAAGGCGACCAAAGACCCACCAATGATTTTTTACTATTCGTACTCAAAACCGGCTGCATAGGGCCAGCCGTGTTGCGCGACGCAACTCACCTATTCTAAACACCTGCCAGGCGCCGACGACACCCATGTTGAGCGTGTCCACTACGTGGAAGATATCACCCTTGCGGAAGCTGAGCTCATTCTTATTCGTCTGCTCATAGTTGAAATGCGTTCTGCAAAACCAGGCACAAAAACATGATGGCCGGTACAACGCGACAATAGCACAGCTACCACTCTGGGCCCTGTTGACAAACTCGGATTCCGAGCACGTTCCCACAAAATGTCATAAAAACATGTCCAAAGCTATATACCAGGAACGAGGTAAGACGTGCAATGAATACTAAGCACCAAAGCCAACAACGCTTAACCGATAGATCCTTCAGCTGTATGGGGTAAGCAGGAAGACGTACAGCTCTTTTTGGTATGTTTATCGATTACATAAGAATATTGCGACATTAATCTTAAAAAACTGACGCTTACGCCAGCATTTACAACAATGCACTTCCGTTCGGTGGCAGTACATCACACGCCTACCCTGCCGCAAATGACCCCGCCTGCCGTACAGCAAGCCGTTCACACGCCCCCGGTGCCAGAGAGGCGCCCCAGCTGACGTCTCGGGGCCGGCGGCGCGCCTCACCTAATGTAGAACGAGTCGCCGCGCTGCGTGGCCACGATATGGTCGTATTCGTCCCCGCGGTACTGCACGATCAGGTCGATCTGGTCCTGCAGGCTGAGCAGGAACAGCACCGCCTCCTCCCGCGTCACCCCCTTCATCTCCATGCCGTTCACCTGCGGCCGGCGGTGGATCAGCGGGGCTGTGACGCGCGCCGCCGCCGAGCGCGCCCGCTCCGGCCGCAGCCCGGCAAAGACTCACAGCGCCTATGCCATCCGATGCCCCTCGCAGCGCCAGCACCATCCCAATCGCCATCCCATCCACCACCATGGCGATTGTGGGACAAGTCGACCGACAACCATGAATGGTAACAAAACTGCACGGAATTAAAACAATTTTGCCGCGCGGAAAGTTCACTGGAAGCGATCTGGCAAAGGAGCGAGGTGTTCACGTAATTTTCTAGTACCCGCCGCGTGTAAGTCATTTAAACTGATGTAGCAGGCAATAGCTTTCCCCGACGCCGAGTACCTTAATGATTTTGTCGCCCGGCTGGAGGCCCTGGACAGCGGCCGGCGAGCCAGGCTGCACGGCCGTCACGAAGATGCCCGTCTCGTTGCCGCCCGTCAGCCGGATGCCGACGGAGCCCTCCTTCTGGAAGCTGACGAAGCGCGGGTCCGGCCTGGCGGCGGGAGAGCGCCGGTCACACGGAGTCACGCCGCCCGCTCGCTCACTCTGCCGGCTGACCCACCGCGGTGCCGGCTCCGTCAGCCGAGGGTGGCGTGCGACGGAGACGCGGCAGCACGAGAGCCGTCCGCCGATCGATCTCGGCATGGCTAGCTCGGCACTCGGACTGTGAAATGATAGCGCCTGACACGCAGGCACGGGCATGAGTAGCCTGAGATCGGAACCATTTTACGTGACCGGATGCTAAAACAGATTTAGTTCATGATCACAATCATGAAAACCTCAATCATAGGTTGACTGCATAACGGGGTATTACCGACATGTAATTGCTCGCCAACAGCCTAAACAACGTGCGATAACGATACCATTTAGATCTCAGCATAGTCCTAGGCAGCATAAAACCGATGACGATAACATCTAAATTTCACGATAAGCCGGGAAACAACGTTAACGACGGGAACCTACACATTGCTTTTGGACTTGGGCGACTGTTGGCTGTAGCTGGGCTGTCGGCGCGTGTCGTAGAAATCTGGAAACAAAGCAAGGAAGTGATGAAGTTCGAGCCACTGCATACTCCCAGCGGCGGAGACAGAATCTTCACACATCGTCCCCACAGCACCCACAAGCCAGGCTCCATGACGGGATGACTTGTGAGAGAACCGCCATAAGCCGACTGCTGCCGGAAAGTTGCAGTCTTTTTCCAGCTGCGCGGGCAGGTCGGCGTGCTGATAACTGTGCGACCGGCCTGCCTTTTCCCAGCCGGGCACACGGTCTCCGCGCATTGACATGCATCGCGGCGGCGACGCTTCCTGCTCTGCGCGGAGCCGGGGCTCTCACGCCGCCAGAGTCAGCGAAGCCGGGACTCTCACGCCGCCGGAGTCAGCGAAGCCGGGACTCTCACGCCGCCGGAGTCAGCGAAGCCGGGACTCTCACGCCGCCGGAGTCGGCGGAGCCGGGGCTCTCACGCCGCCAGAGTCGGCGGAGCCGGGGCTCCCACGCCGCCAGAGTCAGCGGAGTCGGGACTCTCACGCCGCCAGAGTCAGCAAAGCCGCGGCTCTCACATCACCGGAGCCGGCAAACACACATCAACATCACACCGGCAGCGGCGCCGGTGGTGTGAGAGCTGCCGGACGCGAACACGGCGAAAGCGTGAGGTGGGGATGGGGGGGGGGGGGAAGAGACAACCGACCGCAAGCTCTGTGAAACTTTAGCATTAATCCCACGCTGTTGCATACGAAATACAGAGGCAAAAACCCCGTTCGGCAGCGCCTGAGTGCCACTGGTGAGCGGCATCCCTGCTCGACCGGGCGGCCGGGGGGACGACGGCTTACCTGAGCTCTGCGGCTAGTGCGAGCCGTTGGCGACGGCTTACCTGAGCTCTGCGGCTAGTGCGAGCCGTTGACGACGCCTTACTTGAGCTCTGCGGCTAGTGTGAGCCGTTGGCGACGCCTTACCTGAGCTCTGCGGCTAGTGCGAGCCGTTGACGACGCCTTACTTGAGCTCTGCGGCTAGTGCGAGCCGCTGGCGACGGCTTGCCTGAGCTCTGTGGCTGGTGCGAGCCGTTAGCGACGGCTTACCTGAGCTCTGCGGCTAGTGCGAGCCGTTGGCGACACCTTACCTGAACTCTGTGGCTGGTGCGAGCCATTGGCGACGGCTTACCTGAGCTCTGCGGCTGGTGCGGGCCGTTGGCGACGGCTTACCTGAGCTCTGCGGCTAGTGCGAGCCGTTGGCGACGGCTTACCTGGGCTCTGCGGCTGGTGCGAGCCATTGGCGACGGCTTACCTGAGCTCTGCGGCTGGTGCTGGCCGTTGGCGCCGGCTTACCTGAGCTCTGCGGCTGGTGCGAGCCGTTGGCGCCGTTGGTCAGCGGCCGGTCCACTGTAAGACGTCGGACCACACGCTGAGCCAGGCCGGCCGGATCGGGGCATGCGGGCGCACGCGGGGCCGGGGCAGCGGCGGCGCCACATCCACACCACGGAGCATGCCGTCGGGTTGTGCTCCCATCGGGGTTTACACAAACGGCAACCGCAACGATCAGCAACAACACGAGAAGTAACAGGCTGAGACGCACGGGGAAAGTACGGGACAGGACGGTTTACAAGCAAGTCTAGACGAAACGACGAACTCCTGGAGATTAGTTCATGCAAGAGGCAGCTCAGGTCAAATAACCTGAATGGTTACAAAGCTACAAACTCACATCAGTAGCTGCGTAACTATTAGTGCAGGGTGCACTTCACAACGTCAACCCCCGGAGCGCAGAAGCGGACCGAAAACACGTCTAGAACACGGCTGATCATCCAGGAACGGGCTACACTGACCTGTTTCTCGCAGGCTGGCCTGTCCCAAGTATGGTGAGAGTGGGGCAGGGGGCGGGGGGCACGGGGGAGAAGCTGAGCAATTCCACACGAAGGAACACTAGCTTGTGACGTTAGAAGGGAAGCTCTGAGCTTGAGAAAAGCTCCACTGAACGGTGACCCAGCGCGGGTGAAGGGGTGGACAGCTATCCTGTGCCGCCATAACTGCCACTGACCGGTATCGCGGGGCAGCGGCGGCCGGGGCGGCGGTGGCTCCTCCAGCGGGGTATGGTTCAGCTGCAGCGGCGGCTCCAGCTGGCCCAGCGCCGCCTCCGTCAGCGGCCCCCGGGACCGGCCGTTTTGCCTGCCCGTTACACCGCACGCGTCACGCCCTCTGAACCAATGCAGTAAGAGAGGCGGGGCGACGACGCAGCGATTGGACGTAGGTTTGTCCAGGCACTCTAAATAATCATCAAACTCAGCACGAGGAGGTTTTAACGCGACGCATTGGCACAGCGAAACGACACAGTGCATCCACCTAACATCCAAATCAACAAGAATGGTACGAAACGCAGGCATATGTTTGAAAAACAATCACAAAAAGAAAAAAAACATAGAACAGAGCCAGCAACGTACGGCAAGAAAATACGGCCGAACAGGCAGAGCGCACAAATACAACCAGATAGGAAGTCTTCCAATGGTGCATCCATCCGGTCTCGAACACAGTTATCACGACGCGTTAAGTCGGCTTAGATCAAATCGCATTTTAACACCGGTAAGTCACACATCAGCCAATATAAGTAGCCAGCGCAACAGCCTGCTTTCATCACTGACGCAACGCGCCACAGACATCGTCCCCCCTCCCCCCCCCCCCACCAGAGCCACGCAACGAAGCCGCACCTGTTCAGGTTGTTCTTATCGTCGTAGAGCCTGGGCGGCGGCGGCATCGACTGTGACCTGAGGTCAGGCCGGTCGGAGCGCGTCGGCGGCTGCACGTATAGGTTCTGGTTGCCGTAGTTGGAGCGCACGTCCGAGGACTCGCGCGCGTGGTGCGACGGGCTCTCTGTGAACGGCCGAGAGGTCAGCCGGGTCACGTCCGTATCGGACCGCGAACGGCCGAGTTTCCGAGCGAATAGCTGGGCGTTTGCATACATTTTTGGTCAAATGCAGTTGTAAACTGCCGCGCTCATCGCGAGCGGCGAGGGTGCTGCGTTGGGTTAATATTTATTCATGGATTAATGACTCACTTCGGGCGAGTTAGCACTAAAAATCCACTACGAATCACTCAGGTATAATCAATGTAGCCATCGAGCATGTTTTTTAATCCCCACGCGAAGCGTACGAAGCCGATACCGGACGTCATTATGTTGAACGTGTCTGATAATGGCAGCGAACAGACACATCTGACATGCCACTAGAGCGTGTCTGATAATGACAGCGAACAAACGCATCTGACATGCCGCTATTTCCACGCCATCCGAATGGGAGGCGCGCCAAATGGGAAGCCAAAAGGAGTGGAGGTCAAATCAATACGCATGACACAGCAACTATAAACACAATTTTGACACCCTACCCGTCACTGACCATTCCAAACCAATCATCGCGCCCCCCACCGCATCGCAATCACGAACCACAACGTGCCCCACTCGCAGCATGGTGGTATGTCAAGCCTCACCCTCCCACCACCACCTGGCTCGTGACCACGCCGCACCGCCCCACCTTTGGTCTCTGAGTCTGGCAGGGCCGGCCGGCCGCCCGGCTCCCGGCGCACCACCAGGTGGACGCGCTCCTTGGCCGCCTCCATCAGCTTGCGGGCCTCCTTGAGCGTCATGCCGTCGGTGGCCAGCTGGTTGATGCGCAGCACCACGTCGCCCTCCTGGAGCGTCGCCGCCTCGCGGTCGGACGTGGCCGAGCGGTTCGTGATCTCCTTCACGTAAATCTTGCAGCCGAGCACAATGCCGAAGTCTGCGGGCAGACGGAGAGCAGGCTTGAGCGCTCTGCCTGATGTGGGGCAGAACGGGACTGGGCGTGATGTAGGGGACGGACGAACGGAGACGGCTGGGGTGAAGCGGAACGGAAGCGGACGGAGGCGGCCGCAGTGATGGAGAGGTGCGCCCCGACCGCGCGTCGGAGGCCCTGACGTTGGACAGAGGCGCTGAGATACCGCAATAATGAGGCAGAATCAATGGCATGGAACGTCGAATACCACGTGACTCATGCACCGCGGCGGCTTGCAACACCGTGCCGCGGGCGACGGGCCAACCCAACCGGCACAGTTCAGCAGCCGGCTGCCCCACTGCCCAACCAGCCTTGACGTAATGCACCTAAGCCGGCCACTCCACTACTCGTCTCCCGCCGCCCAGCCCGCAACGCTCCGGCAGGGTCCGCCACGCTACGTCGAATCCCGAGAGCTCGCGGCGGCTCCTGCACGCCCACACCGCCCGGCGGTCCGGGCCCAAACACGACCAGTTCAGCGGGTCCGCCCGCCGCGCCGGTCCGGCGCGTGGCTCGTGCTCCTGCACGGCACGGCGCCGCGTGCTCACGGCGCCAGTTTTCCGGGCGTGGCGCCACCGCCGCCGGCGGTGGCACGGGCCGCCGGACGGGCCGCGCGTCGTCACGCCACGCCACCGGCGGCCACCGCCGACGGCGCGGCGGGCCAGGGCCGCGCGCCGCTGTGTGACCCCGTGACCGCGCGGGGCGGTTCATTAGCGCGCTGTCGGCCGCCGGTAATGTGCCCGGCCCGGCCGGCGTGCCGGGGATAGCTGGCCGCTCCTGTGGCCCCGGCGCCGGTCCGGACGCCGCGAGTTGGCGGCGTCCGGACCGGCGGCGCCGGGGATAGCTGGCCGCTCTGGTGGCCCCGGCGCCGGTCCGGACGCCGCCAGCTCGCGGCGTCCCGGACCGGCGTGCCGGGGATAGCTGGCCGCCCTGGTGGCCCCGGCGTCGGGCGAGCTGGCGGCGTCCGGACCGGCGGCGCCGGGGATAGCTGGCCGCTCTGGTGACTCCGACGCCGGCTGAGCTGGCGGCGTCCGGACCGGCGTGCCGGGGATAGCTGGCCGCCCCGGTGGCCCCGGCGCCGGTCCGGACGCCGCCAGCTCGCGGCGTCCGGAGCGGCGTGCCGGGGATAGCTGGCCGCTCCGGTGGCCCCGGCGCCGGTCCGGACGCCGCCAGCTCGCGGCGTCCGGACCGGCGGCGCCGGGGATAGCTGGCCGCTCCGGTGGCCCCGGCCCGGCCGAGCCGGCGGCGTCCGGACCGGCGGCGCCGGTGGACGAGCGCCGCTCATATTGGCCGCCGGTCGGAGCTTGCGTCGGGGCTGTCCTAAGCGAGGGAGGGGGATGGGGAAGGGGAGGGGGAGGAGGACCAAGAGAATTCAGGGAGGACAAAGAGCGGCGCTTCCGACGTCCGGGTGAGGCGGGCGAGCGCCAAGCTGCGCAGAGTCGGTCGCAGTGAGATGACGGGACGTGGGGAAGCCAGGTCCGCCATCCGGGCGTACCTCCGCCAACTCGGAGCTAGGCAGGGCCTCACTCGGGCTTCCCAGCGCGCTAAAGCCATCCATCCAACCGCCGCTAGCGCCACTGACAGCAAATCGTCTAATCGCCGCCCGCGGGGCGCGCCATCCGGCGAGAGACACCGGCCAGCGCCTCCCGCCACCCGCCCGCAGCCAGTCGGCTGTGACAGCGGCGCGCGATACAATGAGCTCCGCCGTGGCGCCGCCTCCGCTCGGACCGGCACTGCCGGCCGGCCGGCGGCGCCTCGGCCAGTCACGCGGTCGGATGTCGACAACGGTGCCGGCGCGCAGCTGTCGGTCGCCGTCTTCATGTGTAATCAGACACACAGAGATGCCGTTCCTCACCCGCATTCAGACTGGTGGTCGCGTCAGGTACGAGAGATGGTTCATAATAACGTGCCAACAGTGTTGCTTTACCCAGTACACGTCGAGCACAGGCTGCATTCGGCCAGAACCGACGCTTTTAGGAGGGTGCAATCCACGTGGGCGCATGCAAGATTAACGGTACGGTGGAGGCGCAGCCCACGTTTCAACTGAGGAAGCAGCCGACTCGCAGGCAATCTGAACACAGGCGTGCTCTGCGTGACGAAGGCAACGTCCGAAAACGGCGCGAACACATCGGCGGAGCCCCGAAGCACGTCATCCGGGGAGGGGGGGGGGGGGGGGGCGTGGCGGCTGCCTGTCGGAGCACACGCCCTCACCACCCGGCCCGCGCCCGTCGCCGGCCCGGCCGCCACTCACCGTCCTTCTTCTTGGCCTTGGTGAGGCTGAGCTTGAAGGTCTGCGGCTCGGGGTGAGCGGGCAGCACCACGCGCCGCTTGATGTAGAGCCGCACCACGGCGCCCGAGTCCTTCAGCACCTGCACGGCCGTGGCGTAGTCGACGTTCTCCAGGGAGACGCCGTTGGCGCTGAGCACGCGGTCGTTGACGCTGAAACGGACGGGACGCGCCTGACCGGTGGGCTCGTCTGTGGGCTGGGGGACTTCACGGCACCTGCGCCAGTGCCGGCCGGCGAGGCGGCGACGGCCGGGGATGGGACGGCGATGGGCGCTGGTTGGGAGAGAGACTTGTCTTCGGGAGTAGACAGACTTGTCTTCGAGAAGGTGCAAAGGTCCCGGTAAATAAGCAATTCTTTTCAGACGTCTTCGCAGACTTCCCGCACGTGCCACCTGTTTTTCAGGCATGCTGCGCTGTCCGTTCAGAAACGGACCCGTCAGCCAGTACATAACAAACTACTTCCCTGATTGGTGAGCAAACCCAGAATGTCAGTTTATGGCTGTTACTTTGCATGACCCATCTCAACGGCATTTGCTCCATCAAGATATTGAAGCACTTTGATCTGCCCGTGGAAGTTCCACTCACAGTGCGACACACTAAGGCTTCCGATGTGATCTTGCATATCAAACAACCGCTTCAATCGATCAGCCGAATGGCGAGGAGCCCAGCATCTCCGTCTCCATCACGACAATGGCGCACATTAACTTGGGGTTCTTCTCCGTAAGCCCGGCGGAGACCGCCCGTCCGTCACAACAGACCGCTCTGAGCCGCCTAAATGGCAGCGCGGCGGTCGGTCTACCGGGCCGTCTGAGCCAGACGGCGGCTTTGGGGACAAGAACCGAGCGGGACCGGACCAGATCTCTGGGCCGACCAAACCAGACTGGGACTATGGGGACAAGAACCGACCGGGACCGGACCAGATCTCTGGGCCGACCAAACCAGACTGGAACTATGGGGACAAGAACCGACCGGGACCGGACCAGATCTCTGGGCCGACCAACCAGACTGGGACTATGGGGACAAGAACCGACCGGGACCGGACCAGATCTCTGGGCCGACCAACCAGACTGGAACTATGGGGGCAAGAACCGACCGGGACCGGACCAGATCTCTTGGGCCGACCAAACCAGACTGGAACTATGTGGACAAGAACCGACCGAGACCGGACCCCATCCTGGGCACGAGTGGCAGGACTCGCTGCCACTCGGCTGAGTGAGGACAGGATGTTGACAGGATGAGGACGGGATACTGAGGGAGGGCAGGACAGTATGAGGACACGATCTTGACACTGGTTTGGGCGGAAGTCAATACAGCAGGCATGGGCGCAGACGGCCATGCGTTGGACGCACCGTGCGTTTAATGAAATAACACAACGGAAACAAACTTAAACGAAGTGACTGCGCCCTATTCATCCAATGAAACGATAAACAAGCGCGGAAACACCCGCTAGTATTTACAGGTAGAAGGGATTAACTAGCCGTTTACAGAAGCCACATAAACACGGCTGTTTAGGTATCGCCATGGCGGTATTTCAAGCTATTTATAGACCCCCGCATAGCCGCTTGATATATCGCTACTAAACCCCACAAGCCTCCGTAAGATCCTCATCTAAACGTGGCTTACAATTTAAGCCGAGGGACCGATCATTTCACAGGCTTTGCTGCCTCACGCTGGAGCGCATAGCCGGAATTCCGACCTTCGCGACGTGCAACCACTAGATTACGAAACATGACGGCGAAACGAGAGCAACCCATCACCATCGTTCACGCCTCAAGACCGTGTTACGTGCATAGTAGAAAAGTGGCATCGCAGAGCCTGTGGCGAAACCTCTCTGAGTTTTAACTGACAGGGCGCTCCCTCGGCATCGCTGCTTGTAAGAACTACATCAGACAGCTCGGGCGCCAACGTAAAGGAAAAAATAACGCTTTATCATGTAAACACCAGCACCTTCTTACCAAGATCTCACAAAAACGGGCGAAAGATAACGACAAAAGCTAGTGTCACATTGCTGCCAGCGGCCACATGTCCACATGTCCACTTGTCCACATGTCCCCGCCGACGAAACGACACCACGCTCACTTCCAAGCACGCCGGCATGTTCACCGTCATGTCAACACCGTCATTCCGCGTCACCGATGCCTGAAGGACCCCACACGGCTGCCGCCCCCCCCCCCCCCCGCGATCGGGCCGTACTCACTGCAGCTTGCCTTCGGCAGGGCCGGCCTTGAGCACGTCCGAGATGGCGATGCTGGGATCGCCGGTGGTGAAGTGCGGATTATCGCGGCCGCCGCTGACGGCGATGCCAAAGCCATAGCCGGGCACGCGGTTCAGCGAAACGTGATGGTACTCCCAGACCACCCGTTCGCCACCCTGGAACACATGAGGGGGGGGGGGGGGGGGGTAAATACCGGCCGGCAGCAGGCAAAGGCCTGACGACCGGCGAAGCATCGGCCGGATAACTCAGAGTTTGCTTTTCATCCATCGCACGTGGCCTTTTTAGACCACACGTCAGCCATCAAGGAGTGAGAACTACGGGACAATGGGCTTGTTGATTGGACAATGAATGAGTGATCACCCCGAAAGCCAAAACGTTCCATTCAGAGCCCCAATAGATCGGTTTTTGTTACCCACTTCAGGGAGGACACAATGCAGCACACGATATCTTGACGAGTTAGAATATCATAAGTCAATGTTTACAATCGCCATCCGTCCTCCCAGCCGATTGCAATACACATTTGACGAGCCAACAGGGCACGATCAGAACGGGGAATATCGAGTTTCTACAGCTATTACTTGATCACCCAACGTCCCAAGCCATCCCCAAAGCGAACCAGAGCGCTTCTGGAACTCCACCGAACAAAGCGCCGCCGGATCCTCTCATCACCAGAAACCTGACCGAATCATCACATCGCGGACTAGCGTCGGCAGGTCACCGAGGACCCGTCGCGCGCCGAGGGAGCCGGTCCCGACGGGCGCCCGCACCGGCGGACCGCAGGAGCGGGCGGTGACGTGACCGGACCGTGTGCAGCCCGCCCCAGCGCCGCGGGAGGAATGGAAAGCTCTCGCTCTGGTGACACGACACTTATTGGAATTGGGACGGCGCGTGACATATCCGACGACCATCAGACAAGCTTTCAAACACAATCGGAGAGCGCTGGCCGGCGCCTTGTTCCACCGCCCGCCCGGCCGAACCGCCGCCGCGGAAAACACGTGAAAACGTCTACTGGCATCGCTGGTATGCCAGCCGGCGCATCACAATGCCATCAAGGACGAAGTGCTGAAACCAAAGAGGCCATAGAGCGCCCACATGAAGGACGATCGCATCAGAGTGGCCGACGTGTTTCGTGCCCGACATCTCCCGAATTCCACTGTTTCGATCCGCAGCGGTTCCCACCTACACTACGCCACACCGTGTCGCAACAGAGAGACGCCCTAAACACACCACCACCAGCCGCCAGCAGACCACAGGCCTCACAAGCGAGGCGCAGGATGACAGATCGACACGCGCCGCCGGCAGAGGCACGAAACCAGCCGCGATCCTCAGACACCGCGCGCCGCCCAAGCCGATACATGCTGCAGGCACAGTTGTGAAACAGAAACACCGCTGTCGGGGGCGGACGGCCAGGGTTATGGAGGAACGCCCACTGCGGCCCGGGATCGGCTATAATTTACCCATATTTGGGTCGGCCCGACCGTCCGTAATGATGAAGTTATTAATTCGACCTCCCACCGGCCGCCTGATGGCCCGATCGTGGAATGCTTTCTCCGCTGAATCCAGCGGGAAAGCGGCCGCACGCCGGCCCTCGCGCCGGCCAACCCGACCACTCCGTGATTTCTGACGGTAAATATTCGGACTTTCACGTGCCAAGTGACACGCCACTGGCACGGATCGCGTCCGGCGGTAGCATCGCGCGGCCCCGGCGCAGCGCAGAGCGCTTCTGAAGCTCCCAGCCGGCGCCCGGTTCGCCTGACCACGGAAACTCATCGACTCGGTGCGGTGCCTCTGGACGACGCGTCCCGGTCCCGGCGTCGTCTCGCAGCGGCGCCGGGACGCGGGTGGCGCCGGCGCCGGCGGCCGGCGGCCGGGGGCGCGGTCCGGGTAAGGGGGCCTGTCGGGCGCGCGGCCGCCGCCCCCCGCGCGCCGGCCCGGCGGCGACACCCATTACCCCACCGCGGTCGGCTCGGTGGTCATTACGGGCGGGTCGGCCCGTGCGACAGGACTGCCGACGGCGCCGCCGGGCTACGGCAGCCCGGCACATGTCGTCAGCGGTCTCCAGCACCGCCCCCGGCGGCCATGCTGCAACACGCCCCCGGCGCGAGCGGCCGCACTTTCACTGGCGGAGCGCGCGCGTGCGCCGTGCACGGCCGGCTTTTTGCCGGCGCCGGCACCGGCCGGGTCGACGGAGGAAACGGCGCGCTCTGACCCGACCTGACCCCGGCGGCCGGAGTGGGCCGGACGGACGCGCCGTGACGGATCGGCCGAGGTGGCGGCGATTAGCGCGCTTTGTACCCGGACGGCGGGAGCCGGCGGGCCGCTGGGTTCGTCCGCTCTGGCGGGGACGGACGGCGGGAGCCGGCGTGCCGGTGGGTTCGTCCGCTGGGGCGGGGACGGGCGGTGGGAGCTGGCGTGCCGGTGGGCTCGTTCGCTCTGGCGGGGACGGGCGGTGGGAGCCGGCGTGCCGGTGGGTTCGTTCGCTCTGGCGGGGACGGACGGTGAGAGCGGGTGGGGGCCCGCCTACCGACGGGCTCGTCCGCTCCGACGGGACGGACGGTGGGAGCCGGCGGGCCCGTACTCTCGGACGCGGAGGCGGTGCCGGGCGCTCGTAACGCGGCCCGCCGCGCTGAGTCAGCAGAAAGGCCGATTTGCGCTGCTCCAGTGGACAAAGCGCTTGTTTACGACAGCAGGTGCGGGTGAACAGAGACAAAGGATCGTTTGCCAGCGGACGTTTCATCGGTTTGGGCCAGATCTTACAGCTTATGTCGAATAGATTAGTTGCAGTCATAGACTAATACACATGGGTATTCACGTAATCACACTTCGGATTCAGCAGCACGAGTGCCACAGCGCCACCGTCGTAGTAAGAAGGCCCAAGGTATTCTATGGAACATATTTTTTCCTTGTCAAACCAATTGACCAATAGGACAATACTTCATGCATATATATATATATATATATATATATATATATATATATATATATATACAGGACCAATTGCGATAAATCTTACCGCAGGCAACATCACAACGACGAAGCACCTGCTCATTCAATTGTAGCTTCACGCAGTGTACCGAACGACGCAGTGGTTAAGGTGGAAGGCAACATAATCCGAGTAAGATGATAGTGTTACGCAGCGTGCATTAACACAGCCTCCAATGGTTAACTTGGCACCGCCGCTCAATAGCTGAAACAAGCATTCATTAACTGTTAAGTATAAAATGACCGTTCAATAAATGTTTAAAAACCCGCCGCACAAACAAAGAAAACCCGTACAGCCAGCAAACGTTCTGAGGTGGCCCGAGGACGCTTTGGCTCATCCAGGCCATGTTACATGGTTCCATGGCGCTCGGGTAGACCCGGTGACATGGGTCGCCCGCCGGGTGCCATCCGCAGTGCGGGACAACACAAAACTACCCACAGAACGGCATCAAGATCGATCAAAATACCGGTCCAAGCTATCGAATCTGGGATATAACCATGCACGTCCTCTGCATGCCTTCGGCGTATCACTGAGCCCGCACACACAACGGATTTGCATCCGCAAACAAAATAAGAAAGACTGGATCTTGAGCGAGGTAAAAACCATGGTACGTTCGGTTATCTTGCGGTGCTATAGCGTGATGTCTGACGCAGTTTTTAAGGTATATCACTCAGGTCGCGCTACATGCCGTAATTGCCCACACTTGGAGCAATGGCGTAAACGCGAGTCAAGAGCTATGCACATCTCAGGTATGCCAGAAGACAAGATCTACAGCCTCTGACGACGCCCAGTCAGTGACACCGCGTGCACTGAACACGAAGCGATGGAAGCGCGCGGCCTCCATCTTACCCACGAACTCGCCGAAACCTTACACCAAAGGATGTAGCCCCTAAAAACCGCCGAGTAACACGATCCTCGCCCCACTCACGCGGCCCGCGGACGGAGTCGTGACCCCCTGCGCAGCAGCGTCCAGACTCATCCTCATGTCAGCGGCCATCCCCGCGCCGGGCCCGGCACACGCACACACGCGCACGCAGCGGCCGGCCACCCGACGCGGCCACGCGCGCGCGACCGGCTCTCTGCCCGGGCGGCCGGGCACAACATGGCGCCGGGCCGCCCCGATGGTATGTCTCCAAGACGTGCCGGTTGGCCGGCTCTTATTTTGGCCGGGCGGGCCTGCCGCTCACATCGGCCGCTCGGGAGTCGGGTGGAGCGAGAGTCGTTGGAGGGTGTGTGGCTCCGGTGGGGCGCAGGGGTGGGGCGAGGGAGACGGTCGAGCTGCGTGGGCCCGGTAATCAGCCAAGGGAAAAGAGTCCCAGAGCGGGCAGCGCCGGTACTCCGGTATGCACAGCCCGGCCGCACTAATCAGCCGCAGGAACAGGTTGATGAAGGCAAAGTACGGCCTCTGCCACCACGACCGCGCACAGCCGGGTAGGGCCGACGCGGAGGCAAGCGGAGACCGGCCTTCGCAGAGGCCGTATCGCCGAACCGTGGCCCGTTTTTTTCTGAAATTACGATCCCTGGACGGATTATCCCTTTCGCGGGGTGTTTGTACGTGCGGCCGCTCAATATGCACGTCAATCACTGGACCTAGCGTCAAAACAAAGCGACGATCCCACCCAAGAGCCAATCGCGCTGCACCGCGGCGACCGCAACGCGCCGAAGCGAGCCTAACCCGGGAACTGCGACCGACGAACGAGAGCACAACACCGGCCGGGCTTCCTGCGGCGACGATGGGTGGCGGAGGCGGCGGGCGACGAGAAGGAGACCG